TGAATTATTTACGTTGGATGTATAAAAGGTATATAAAAACTTCGTCATTTTTTTTAATTTCCTGCTTTTTCTTATAAAAACGAAATGAAATATAACGAGGCGAGTCCCGAGTTAGGGCGTCCGTGCTTCACTGAAAACTCGAAATATAAAAATATTTAAATTATCACGACTGTTTTTGATACAATATTCCTTATTTTAACATGTTAATATACTAACACCTAAAAAAGAAGTTTCTCACCCGAACAACGTGTTATTTACAAGCACTGATCCTGAAACGCCGTATAACGAAACTTCAACGATCACAACTTTTCCACCGTTCCACATAAATTACTCTCAGAACTCGGATTAGAGATTGAAGTTCATTGCCCATTGGAAATGACGGCCCAGCAGGCAGCAAGACGGAGACACATTTTTTCGTTGAAACTTCCTCCGATATATTGATTGATCTCATCGCCCCGCAAATCCAAGGTTACAGAAGGAGATACCATTCGGGAGCATGCATGAGCGTCACGGAGCAGTAAGTTTTATTAAATCGTTTTAGGGACCATTTTTATCAATATTGTTATTGGAAGAATTATGAAAGAAGTTTATGATAAATTGAAATTTGTAAATGCGATGTAAATAAAATAAAGTTAGTATAAAATTAATGTACTATAAAAATCGGTATCTACATATTGAATACAAGTTTTAACAAGATGCAGAAAGTTGGAAGTAACACACAGGAGTTAGTTGAAAAACTATATGCAGCATTTCCCTTCAATTACGAACGTCCCTGGTTAGAGTAGGATACTCTTCAATATATGCCTTCGAGACTGTGTGCCCGGTCTTTCCTTTCTCCTCGTGTCGTTTTCGTCCTCAATTGTGACCGAAATTGGGAAGGAAATTGAGAATTGACAGGGTTTCTACGGATAAATACGATCCGGATATTCGGATTATTCACTATCATACATTGGAAGTTTGAGATTTTGGACACGTCGCCGAATTGTAAATCACGTTATGTAACTTAATATCTTTCGGTATATGGTTTTTCTACCATTCCGATTTGGCGCAGAAATTGTCTCTAAATTATTTATTAACATAAAACACTTTTCTCTTATACCCTTCGTGCGGCTGTTTACGTAACCGGAACCCGACGGGAGTTATAATGCATTTCTTTTTCATTATCATACGAATAACAAATATTGCTGGAAACTTGGAAGTTCTTAACAATCAAAACGGTGGAGTTTACCAACAGCTCGCCTTGTTTGTTGGAAGCGATACGTCTTTATTCTCCTCCTTTATTGCCTTATTTCGTTTTGAATACAATACTGAAAATAGCAGTATTTTATTAGCTCCTATGAAAAATTTAATAACTCAAAAATTCATATTTTTTATTACAGTTGACACTGGCAACGTGTCAATATTTCAAGTCGTCCTGTACATGAGGATAAAAGTCCGTTTAAGGACATCTCGGTGGAGATAAAACAGATCTTCGAGGAAGATAGGACGCCGGAAGAACGCCCTGCAAACAATGATATCCGAGTCCTTAATCGATCTAGGAAACGACCCAAGGGAGTTTCAGGGACGAATTCAATCGGCACATATTTTAGGATGGAAAGACGGATCGTGTGCCGTATTTTGATAGAGCGAAATCACGTAGGTAGCTCGTATAGCATCCTCGATGAAATTACCTTCGCAAGTTGCGCGAAGAATCATCGAATCCTCTGAAACATAGACGAGATAAAAGCAGAGTTTTACTACTTTCAGTGGATACTAAGTGAACTATTTTTAGCGTCTGTTATATTCTTTAGGTTGACGCTAGAACTATAAACTGCTGTTAGGTTACAAACTCGACGAACTCGAATTACTTCCGACTTATGAAAATTCCCAGTTTCCACCAGTATTTCAATTTAAAAGTTGCAAAAATAGTTAATGGCCGAAACAGATGTGATATCCTTGCTTTGAAAAATTATGAAAAATTGTTGATTCGAAAATTACGCTCGAAACACCGTTCTTCCCGTTTTGTATTATTTTGTGTGCTAGTAAAAAAACAAAAAAGATGTTTCTGTGAAAAGTGATACGCTACTAAAAGCATTCGAATTCAGAAAGAATTTTCCCGTTGCGAAAACGAGCAGTAGAAAAATTAATTGTTCGTGTTTTTACTTCGTTATTATTCCCGGCTTCTGTTGCAGGAAAAATAAGCTAATGTAAATTGCGTGAAACGATGCAATTATACGCGACATCGAAAATTTCACTTAATTGCAACCCCATCCCCTTTTTATTTGATCTTTCATTTGTCCTATCAAGATGGCTCGTCTATTGTCCGAGATATAGTTAATAAATATAATAACATTGGAGGAGTTTCAACGTGTGACCTAAATAAACAACAGAATTAGGCTGGTCGTTTATTTAGGTTTAATGCCAAACCCTCGGTCAGAACAAAATGTAATTTTTAGGGGTGCCTCTGAAAAAATAAACCAACTTTTATGTAATGCTTGTAACCAAAATTTCCTCTGCTGTTTTCAAAGAGAAACGCACTTGAAAAATATTGGTTGTAGTAGTACAAGCTGTTATGTTGAAACAAATCACTGGAATTTTTGATAAAATCAATTTAAAAAAATAGTGGTTAATAAATTGGTTTTTGTTGAGGGGAGCTTTTATCTCACGTTCTACTTTTCTCCGACTACTTCTTTATTCTATTATATTTTACTTGCAAGGCTTATACCGACGAATTATGTGGTAAACACCATTTGCAATTTAATAATCTGTTGATGTTCAATAAAGCAACAGGTGCCTCCATTAATCAGGTGAAACTGTCGGTTATCGGAATCAATCGGATTCGCGAAACTTGAAGCATTAATTAAAATCGTAGAATTCCCAATCAGCTTTTCGGATTTAATCAAATCGAACCGCCGCATTTAAATAAAATTAAGCAGCAAACCCGACTATTTCGTATTTAAAACATATTCTCAGGATCGATGATCGGCGTTGCTCACAGACTCTTATTTAATGTCACTGGAAGTTTACAGATGGCGCGGACGCACTTCCTGAATTTTTAACTTTCAGGAATTATACGTTGGTTTCAAACTTTTCAAACGGGGACTTTTTTCGGAAATTCAGTTAAAAGTTCAGCAAGTGGTTAAAATTGATTTCATACACAGGATGAGCTGTACATAAGAATGTGACATTATTCCAATAATATTACTGAATTGTACCAATTGAACTTATAAATAAAAAGTAGCTATAATATATTAGTGCGTTAGTTTAAAACTGTTTTTTTTGGGCCGATAAGCGATGAACGACGTTCCGATAAATTGAACCGCCGAATAGTTCGTTTCGTTTTAGCATTAAGTTCATGTTTAACCGATAAATCAGTCGGGAGCGAGGGATTTCGCGGCATCAAGTAATTTAACAAAGTTCATCATTGGTCTCCGCACGTGCGGAAACCGCAGCTGATGCATCAAGAGGAAGCCCCGCATCGGCCAAGGAACAATTTAAACTCGACAAAAGACTTATTGTTGTTGAGACGTAGCGCGAATTTCTCTCGATTTGTTGCAGGTTCGTATTTTTTCGTTTCAATGCTCGCTTACCTCGCTGTAAATTTTGCGGGTTTTAATTCTTTTCTGTCTGCTACTGCTCGGCGAATTCGGCAAGAATTCGTCGAAAAAATAGCGGTTTCGTATGAAATTCTCCTTCCTTTCGGAGCGGCTGTAATATCCTCAACCAAATAAACTTGTCCTCGATGATAAGTGATAATAAAACTCCTCGACATCGCCGCGAGGAACGTTTTCGTTTTAAAAAGTTGAAACGAGGCGAGGCTGTTATCAAATACACGCTTTTTCTCTTTTTGTGCAAATATAAATTTCACCGGGCTCGGGCTTGTTACGCAACTTCTCGAGACACGCAAGATTTATTACACTTTTAATACCTCGGCTACCCTTCACAAACAACTCATTACTATCAAGTAATTTGAATCCTTCGAATTTTTAACTCGGAAATTCCCGTCGAAGATTTATTCGAGCGACTAAACGTTGGCAGGAAACGTCTTCATCTACCACTTTCCTTTATCGTTACTGTAACTATATTGGATGAAATATTATACCGCCCGGAGATATTGTCTCACGGGAGTAATGGAAGAATGCGAGCGATAAAGCTCGCGTAATTCGGTAACTGAAAAAACAGGACAAGAGCGAATAGTTAGAAGGAGTTTAAGGAAATATCTGCAAAAAATGAGCAAATAAATAAACCAGCCAGAGCGGAAGGTTAATAAATTAACACGGCGCGAAATAACCGCGTCGCGGCGCACGTTCCTGCAAACTGCACTCTTCACTTCCGGTCGACGTCATTTGACATTCCGGGTGCACTTCCGACTCCTGCACGCTTTGTTGCCGCACACACTCGACGGGATGACGTTCTCTCCTAATCCCTTTCGTCATTGTGTCATCGCGTCGAGTTGTACTCGTCGTCGGTACAATAAACCTTGTCTGCCCGTAACACCGTAATTGGTGTAAGGGCGAACGCCGCGTAAGAAAGCCGGGGCGAAGTTTAATTAGATGTTGGTGTCAGTGTGTTTGGCAGGAACGCGAGACAGGTATTTTATGCCCGCATAAAAATGTAAGGGTGCGTGAATTTCGAGTATCGATTTGAGAACACTCCTAATATACCAAGAGGTGTTTGTGGATTTGTAAGGAAGAAAATTAGTTTTCCAGTTGGAGTATTCTACTTATATTCTTATTCTCGGAGATGCCATGGGTGAATGTAGGTTATTTGCCTCTTCTTATTTTTATGTGTATTCCTGAAATTGTGCAAACAGGAATATCGGAAGATTGCCTTTCTGGCAACGGCATCCGGGTTTGCTCTGATAAATCATCCGTAACAAATAAACGTAAATTGGATGACGTGATTAACTTGTTTGTAAATAAGTTTATATTTGAAAAAAAACCTCTTAATATCGTCAACATGTTTATAAATAATAAACGTCGTTGTGTAAATTCCTTGGAATCCGTATCGACATCGTTATCACGCTTTTCCAGTGATGTATGCTTCAATTTATTAGACCGAAGCCAATAAATCCGTATCCTAAACATTTCCGCTTCACTTTCCGACAATAAATTCGCAAAACTGGCTTTACGCTCCCTTGGAAGCGACCGATCATTTATTCACCTGTCCACTTTGTTTATACATCGGTGATACCTCAAAGAAAAATTGCAGATGATTACTCAGTTATAATAGAAGAATTAATTTTGCCGGTTCTAAATTTTCTTGAATACTGCCTAATTAGTATTCGAGTGACAAGAAAACAAATAAAAAAAAGTCCTAAAAGAACCGACCCGTTTAGGATTTCTGGCTTCATTCAGAAGAATATCTCAGGAACTCCTCTTTCCGCAATTTACAATTTAAATTTTCCGACTCCACGCAATTAGGTGTACTGAAATCCTCATCAGTATTTAAGTCCCTTCGGTATGCTTTCAGACTAGACTTTATGAAGCATTCTAACTCGATTATATGCAGAGGCCATATATTTCGGATGTCAAGGAAATAATCTAAACTTTCCGGAATCAAATACTGTCCTTATTGAAATTTAATCTTCTATTTGTAGGTAATCATGTAATAAAAATTCATTTGATCCAATTAGGCCAGTAAAATTTCATTAAAATAAAACTCGATTATACTGGGGCAATGTAAATCTAGGAGAGGACGCTTACGCGAAAGAAATATTCCAGGGAAACATAAAGCCCAATTTTAAGTGTTAAAAAGCTTCATAAAACCAGGTCAATTGGAAACATTCAATTAAACCGCGAAAAGAAACACTCCTCGAATTTTAATATCCATTATCGAGTTGAATTTTCAACTACCCATTGAAATAATACCCCGAAGGCTATTCGGTTGCAGTCACTCATTAAAGCATCTGACAGTTTCTTTAGGAAGAACTACCGTCAGTTGACATTATGCAATTCTCGCAAAACTTCTCTCGAAATTTCCGACCCGAAACGCTAAAATGTTTGGAGTTTATAAGGGAGTAAAGGTAAATCAAATGGACTGCTGTAAAACTATAGACGAGGGCCCGGCTCCCTGAATCGGCAACTTTTCCTGGCGACCTCTCAAATAGGATGCGCTACGTTAACAGATAACGTGGGATTACTAAGTTTGGGTCACAAGATTTACTGCTAAGATCTAAAATACGGTTTACCAGTAGTTGGAAAAATAGAGAAACTGTTTGTACCTTATCAATACAAATGTAAGTAAAAAAAATCTGGATATAGAAATACTGAAACCTTGATTATAAATCCGACCAAATCAAGGTAAATGACGCCAAAAGAGACGCTACAACTGCAATAATTAAAAAAAACTAAACTGAAAGCCCGCAAAACAAACCTCAAAGCGCCGAATTTCTCCTCCCGCCCGCTCGACCCGCGTCGACGACCAAAAATGTTTTTCGAACCGATGTCGACGTAATTAAAATTCCTACGAAAATCCCCGTGGAATACAAATTCATCCATTCTTCCCGAGCAGCAAAATTAATACCGCATCACATCGTTCGGTAATCGACTGTGTAAAACAATACCTCTTGAAGAGGATTTGCCAGGCGACGATTTTCCAGGTTCTGGAACACTCCCGTTTGGTTTTTGGACAAAAAGCGATGCGGCAAGTTTTCAAGTAATGGAAAAGTGGATACCTATCGAAAATCAGGGATCAGAATTAACTAAAGAGCCATAAATATGTGTACATTCTTCACGTTTATAAATATATCATGTTTTTAATTCTTTTTAATAGCATCTTAAATATGTCATTGCTAAATTATTAATTATGAGCTTGACAGCTGTAAAGGGAAGCTTTGAAAAGCCCTCAATCCTGGTAGGTTTTTTCTCATTTTCGTGAATGATATATTGATAACCATTAGAAGCTCAATAACTCAATGGGAGTTTTCTTCCTGTGTTGACACACTAATTTGATCAATAAATGAAAGTTATAGATCAGCTTGTCAAGTTTTATTAAGAAAATGATCAATCTTATCGGGGCATCCTGCTCGCCGGAAAATACAAAAGAATGGAAACTAAGACGATAACAGTAACTAATTTATACGACTCTAATATATGCACAATAAATTATCTTCTCATAAATATATGTATTTAATTAAAACACGTATGCGATTTTTTCGTCCATTAATCAAACGAACAATGTACTTAGTAAAGCATAAAATATTACGCTCAGTAAAAGCGCCTTCAATTAGTGAATAGGTCAAGCTTGTAACCGAAGATAAAGCGCCGTTTTTACTTTACTCATCCACATTCTGGCAGTGGAGATTTATTCGTATTTATCCAGCAAAACCCACAAAAAAAACAATTTTTTCGGCAATCCTTGAATTTACGAGGGACAATTGGAATGTTCGCTCCGCATAGGCTGCGAAAGAGAAATCTACATGAAAGAGGAAGAAAGTTATTCTTTTCCCCGGGGGCACATTCGCTACCGCATCAAGGGATAATAAATGGTCGAAAAAAGGAAAGCTTCTTTCGATATAGACGTCTTATAATGTTCTTAGGATGGAATCGTTATAATTCCCGGAGAAGACTCTAAACTTTAGAGTCTAAAGTGCCAAAAATGGTGACACAATTCGCTTCACAACATAATTTTAAGTGGATTTGTAAAGTTAATTAACTCATTCATTCCAATTTATTTTTATGTGTTTTTTAGTGTAGGTACAAGTATTAACTTACATACATCAAAGAACATAAACTAACGAATGTTAAAAGGCTTTACCTCGACCAGATATTCGAGCTTCAAAGACAAAAGGACCGGGGAAGAGAGGAGCATTCAGAGAGTTATTGTTACTCGTTAGCATGTTTATCGCAATTTTAATTAAATTTAAAATTAGATTTGACAATATACAATGATGAGGATTCCCAAATCTTCGGAGGCAACCCGACTAAAATGCTTAATATTCCGTAAGAATTTTCAAAGATTCTTTAACGTCGCGAAACTTCTAAGAAAATAAAAGGGTTCAAAGAAGATTATTATTCTAAAACCGTGTGCTTATATTTTTACTTAGTCATTTAATTACAATAATATGGCAAATTCCTTTAGTTTAATACAATTTAGAATTTGTGTAATAACCGATTTTTATTTCAGTTTGTTGATTTAAATAGGTAGGTACTATACAAAAAATATCCCGAATTGTTTATTAGCGATTTCGAAGGATCATATTTTATCTTTTATGAACTTTTATAGTTCCTCCTCTAAGTGAAACTCTTTTGTTACATCGACTTTGACCTGTTTTCATACGGAGATCCGTCGTTGAGCGTTTTGAAATATGGGAATAATAAATCTTTTACGAAATAGGAAATCAACCACTGAGTCATTGTATTTTCCGCAAAGTTCGTACAATATTAATGTGACCGTTGTTTTCGGGGATGAATACGAAAGCAAGGGTTGTTAATAAGAGTCCAAAAATTGCCGATTTATAACATTTTCCTACGCATATGCTATATGTGTACAACCAGAAATAAGTGAATATGTAACAAAAATATAGCAATATCGTGAAATATTCCCCACTAGCATATCCATTATACTGCTCAACGTTCGAACCGATTCGAAGAGAGGCAGGCCACTCTGAAAATTGATATTTTATGCAATTTGGAATGTCGCCAATTCGGTTTCATGCCCTTGAAGCGTTTATGTTAAATTTTTTGAGCTTCACAATTCGCATGAAACAAAAATAAATCATCCTACCCCTAATAAATTGAATTACAACCAAACATAGACTGCTGGAATTGTCTCAATTAGGTATTAATAACAACGTTCCAATAAGACAGAAAATGTTGCTATACAAAAAAAAGAAGTTATAAGACCAGCGGGATAAAAATTTGGCAGAAGCGTGTTTCAGAAGACACTCTGATCGATTAATAACTGAATTTTTGGTAATCGAAGCGGTGGATGAAAATAATATAGGTTTGGCGATTAAAGGATTCATTGGACAAGAGAAAAACGATGAAATTACTTAAGTTTATGGTCCTGTAGGGGCTTTTTTTCGTTCAATTGAGCTTTCGCTTAGGGACTTTCGATCGAACGGATTTACTTTCGGCGGATTGAATGCGTTAATGAGAATTTTTGATTGAATTCTGGTTAAATTAATTGACGGGAAAACAATTATTCCACCTTCCTTCTCGCTCCTTTATACTATTTCTCTACATTCATGTACACTCTATAATTGAAACATTTTGGAACGTATCTACTGAAAAAGAGAAATTAATTTTCTAAATTGTATTTAATTAAAACTAAATCACGTTATGTGTCGACCTGTACGAGACTATAGCAAGTTACTAACGAGATTATATCGTACATGAACGATTCGCTAATAAGAAATCCGTCGCTAGAAAGAAACAAAACGACGGAAAATCGCAAAGAGAAAAGCTCACTCGACATCCTTTCAAAGTTGGTTTCGCTTTGAAAAAACATACTTAATCTCCTTATTGTGTACTAAAAATAACTGCAACCATCGGAGAAAGTTCTACTAACTAAATCGTTTCCGTTGTTATCGTACGACGTAATTCCAAATGAGCTTGACCTTTTTTGCTGGATTCCCTCAACCAGTCTTACAGCCTACTCTTTTAAATTTTTGTTCAATTTACTCCGGTTTAATTTGAATATTCGCGTAACAAAAACAATTCCGACTCACTCTTTCGGCCTTTCACAACCCAACAAATACATTTTCCAATGTTGCTTAACGGAAGGGAGTGATAGCTTTCAACTCTGTTGTTCATTATTCTATTTTCCGTACCTGGAAAGTCCCTCTATTTGCATATTAAAATGAAATTTAATTTTGATTGTATGTTAATTTTATTCATTCGTTTTGAAAAGCATTTTCCTATACTATAAGGTTTTATAATACCGCATTTCAAATGTTTATTATCTATTATCATTTTGTTATATTTCCAAAACAAACTAAATTCTTTAATCGCATTTTACAAATCCGTTACATTATAATTTGCTTCCGTGATGCGATAAATAATTAAAGTCGGATTTAACGAAATTTCCGCCGCTTCAACTCGCTCCCATTGTTCAAAAATCAAAAATCGATCTCTCCGAAATTGTTTCAGAATAAAGCGCGTAATCAGAACTTCAATTTAATACCTTTAATTAAATATTAAGTGAGAGAGCGCAGCGTTAATTGCCTTTGCACAGTTGATTTCTTTCTCAGTCAGGATTGGAAATCGTCTTGCTGGCGTTCTCGACGAAAGACGGCGCAGAGAAGAGGGAATTTCCTGGGAAATTCGGCGCCGGATGTATGCCGTTAAGTTTTCTATTGTAACATTCTCCGGGCCCGCTTAAAAAATTCGGCGAGTTTGCCTGATACTTTCACTTTGTTTTCTCCGTTTCCGATAAAAAAATATTCGTATATTATATGGATTCAATAGAGTTAATCCATAAATTCGATCAAATTATTTCTTGTTGAATTTTTATTCGTATAAGTAGGTTGAAGAAAATTCGGTGATGAAATCATAATAGTTGAAAAACTTTCATTGGTAAATACAATGTACAGACAATTATAACTGTTATAACCAAGTGCCTAAAAAAATGTACTTGGGAATTAATTACTGATTTCTTATTACTTACAAACGCATTTCTTCCACAGTAATAACTTAACAAGCAAGTAAAATAGTTGAATATTTTAATTAAAAAAATTATTGATGTTACTTTAAATTAATTAATTTAGTGTATAAGGCTTCCCATGGTCAGTGTATTTATAGAGTAAAAGTTGAAAGGATTTTACGACCTAATTCAAAAGCAAACTAACCATCCAACACCCCTAACTTTGTACAAAATTTTCGACCTCTAATAACTGACGTTAATATTTTTTTTCCAATTAATAATTTTCCTAAAGACATAATGGGGAATGAATTATATTTGTGTAAAATTACCTACGTAATTAAGAGAGTTTAATGAGCTGATATTAAAAGTTTCTGTCATAGCCGCTTTACGACCGAGTCCAATATTGCTCTCGTTAAAAGGGTTGAAAATTTCGAAATTGGATAGGTAATCTGTCGGCTATGAAAATTATGTTTTGTATATTACCTTCATCGATTATAATGTCGAATATTCAGCGTTGTTTTATAACGAGGTAGAATGGGCAGTTCGTTAAAGTGTAAATATAGCACATAACATTTTTATGACAGTGCAAAAAATATCGCGGTGATTATTTACTTCGATTTCCTTCGGTAAGCATGAATTTTTAAAAACCGGAATAATTCGTTTTATTCCGTTTCAACTATCTATTGATTTTGAATTATTAATTAAATTTTCAGTAATAACGAGAATGAATTCCCTAAATTTTTTAGCACGATTAATATTTATTTATATTCTTGAACTTATTATTTTTTCAAAATAATCGTCTGAAATTTCCAATTAATTAAAATACATCAATAAATTAATCGAATACTTAAATTTTATAATTAGAAAATATATGTATATTCAAGATAACTATCTATTGACGTTTTTTTATACAAAAATATAATACAGTATGTTGTATTGTAATTACTTCTTAATTTATAACTCTAAGAAAATTAATAGGTACCTACTTTATTGAAATTTGAAAACACCTTAAACATTTTTGGGCAAAAATTTATTCAAGCTATACTAATATAATCACACTGTATAATTGATTGCGTTTTATAACGAAGGTCAAAAGTGTATCATCCTCTGAGAAAAACATCAGTCGATGTGAAACGCGCGTATATGAACATGTTAAATCGAACGATCCTGCTGGTGTTAGCCGCGATTTCGCTGACCAGCCGAGCGAAGGATTGCAATCCGAACTATTTGCAACGTTCCATTTACTTCAACAGCGTCAAAGAAAATTTCAATTACTATCCGTGGCACACGTACCAAGCTCCCGAAGGGAAAGTGAAGTATTTCCAAGCCAGAGGTCCGCAACACATACCCCAAATATGCAAAGAAGCCATCGTTTACAACACCGTGCAAGAGGTAATTCTATACAAAATCGAATTGGAATACATCGAGCCGGGCTTCTTTCACAGCAGGTTCATCGAGCAGGTTTATATACAGTACAACAAATTAAAACGCATACCGATCGGCGTGTTCAACGGAACGCAAATAAGGAGCTTAGTTTTGGCCGATAACGAGATTGAGTTCATAGAGAACGGGGCTTTCTCCGACATGCCCCATTTGGAAGCCATCGCGTTAGATTACAACAAAATCAAAGCGTTCAACCCCGACTGGTTCGAGGGGGCGAAGGTGCTTTACGAAGTATCCTGCATTCACAACGAAATAACCGAATTACCATACGCTACGACCAGGTACATGACGGAGTCGCTGGATAAATTGGGCTACGAATATTTCGGGTCGATTTATTTCGATAACAATAAAATCAGACACGTGCACGAGGAGGCCTTTAGGAACTTAAAGAACTTCGGAACGATCAGTTTGAGCAACAACGAGATTTTGAACATACCGGAGAAGCTGTTCAGGGGATTCGAATTCCTGTTGACGCTGTACATGAACACCAATTCGTTCGTTTGCTTCAACAACAGAACGATCCAGAGTTTCACCGGCGTCAAAAAATTATTTTTGGGTAATAATAGCATGAACAAAGATTGCTTGGAGAGATTGAAGACGTATTTCGATTGGAAGAACGATTTGGTTTATTATTGATGTACAGTTTCAGTTTTCCTAAATAAACAACTTACAGTAAACATTTCGAAATTTACTGATAAATTTAATCTAGGCCTAGATATCTCGCAATAAAGGCACTTCCAAATTCAAGTATACACATAAACCTCCCTTTTCTGTTACATATTCAAATTATACTCTCAAAATAATTTTCCCAATTTACCTTCCGGCAGCAAAACCTATAACGAGATGCCATTTCACAACAACGGTCGTTATTTTGTTGTTTTAATGAATATAAATGAAATAACATCTATGTAGGGTCGTTAAAAGCTTTAATACGAGATTGCAGAAATTAATCGTTAACGGTTAAGAGCTAGAGAAAGAACGTCTCGAGGTGTTAAGAAATTTATTCAAATAGGTATTATTTTTTTACTGCATAAAATGAAGAATCGAATTAGAAATAATTGAAAATGTTTATAACCTACTTAACTTTTAATTTCTGTTGCACACCATTTTTATTTGTAATAGGATCTACAATTTTACAAGTGCAAGTTCGATTGATTATTTGCTTAGATAACGAAACGCATTAAAAAGCTTTCAACATTGTTTTGTCAGAACGAGTTTATAGCAAACAGTTTTTGATATGTTGTCGTTTGAGTACTGTCAACTAAATTTAACTAATCGATTACAATGGGAAATCTCGAATTACCGAACTGAAAAGATCAAACAGCAATTTAATTCAATTACAGTGCGACGGGAACAGCAAAGGCCGCAAGATGCGCAAATCTATAACATCACTTCGATTAAAAAGAGGGAACTTCTGATATTTTTATCGCTGCGCTTTCCAGAATCGCAACCTAAGCTTCCTATCGAAATTAGGTATCTATCCAACGTGCCAGTCTTACACCGCTTTTATTGATGTTTGAATCTAGCGATTCGAATAAAATTTTTAGAGCTTTGAGAAATTTGTTTCTTAAAAATTCAACAGAAAAACAACAGTCCTTTGATGTCTGCCTTGCGGTTTCTCTGGAACTACAAATCAAACAAATGTAATAATCCCTCAAAGAACGCGCAGTACACCGTCAAAATATAATTCACTACATAAAATATCGACAACGGTACAATAATTTGATATTTGCGTATTTTAACTACCGCAATATCGAATGCATCGGACAGATAACTAAAAGCGAGTTAATAGCAGGAAAATTCGAAATCAAAATAAACACATATTGCGTTAGAATTGAATAATATCGACGACGTGTTTAATTTAGGCTTAATTGCATAGAGTTTTGAACGCAATAAATTCACAAACAAATTGTTTGCTTTGCCAAAATGGTCGGCATTTTCCAGAAACTCACCTGGAATCCGGCGCAAGTCGGGGCACCCGAAGAACCCGCCGACGACGAGTGCGGATGCGACGCCGACGTCGATCCATAATACTGATTATACGATGTGTCTAAAATTTTTTTGTGCGCAGACGCGTGAGCCCTGTATGCCGACACACTGAGCTTCATGTTATTTTCATTTTTTTAATTTATTTAACACTAGTAACGGCACTATTGATTGGAACGCACTACCGCACTGTGTTCGTCTCGTCGAACTAATGAACAGTAAACGGAGTTATCTGGAACAAACCAACAAACATTCAGAACTTATTTTAACAATTATTCTTTTAGGATGAGTACTCTTTCACAGAAACATATTCATCCCTGTATATTCGTCAATATAAGGCGATCATTCATTATATTCATCAAGTAAGGGTAGGTATAATGGATTTTCTCGTGAATAGTGATTTGTTGTGCAATATGAAACTTAAAGTAACTACTGCACTAAATTTATTATGATTATCCTTCCCTGCTAGTCACTATATCTTCGTACATATTGGTACACTTTCACTGTTCATGAGAAAATCCTGAGGTTATAGATATACGTAGGTATACATACTCGTCAATGCATATTCATCAACAATGTATTGAGCCCTGACTCTATTCAACGTCTAAATACAGCCAATGCGTCCAATTACGTTTACGGTTTAATAAATACCCCATTTATAATTTGGAGATTCTGTAGGGCCAGCAAGAAAGGTGGCGACCTTGATCCTATATAGGCGTTAATGAGGTCGTTAACTAAACTTCTGGGAATATTCGCGAACGTTTTCCTTCCAAGGAGGTTTTCGATCATCTTAAGTGGTTGCCAAGGCGCTAATGTCCCAGGGAAACTTACGAGGAAGTTAAAAGTTTCGGTTGTAACTTAACTTATCTTGTTAGGCAAAAAGTGGCGGCGTTTCCTTAGATAAAATGGTAATACTGAAGTATGCGATGCTACAAATAAATTAGGGTCGTGAAGAGAATATTTCGATACAAAACACCCCTAAGATCCTTAATTAAAACATTGATTTACTTTTACTAGTTACTTATGTGTGGACGCGTAACTATACAATGACTTTACGACTTATTTCCTTTGGGTCTTGTTAAAGTTCGTAATTAGGACATGAGAAAGTTAATTTCCGAAAATTTCGGTTGAATTTCCTTCCAAGTTTCCTCTAATTGAAGGTCAGGTAGCTTTCCAACCTTTCGAACGTAAAGGAATCCCAAAAACCCCCTATTTAAAATAGTTAAATTGACGGAAGTGTATAGAATTTAAATTGCCCAAATTACGTCTTGCTTTTTCCAAAAAGTTTTCTTTTTATGCTGTTAATAAAATTGGCATAAAGCCCGTGATTAAAGAACGGAGTTAATTTTCAGAAAATTGAAATAACTTTCTCGACTGAAGGATATAGGTGTTTTTCTTTAGAGTTCGCTCGAGACCCTAAAAAATGTTCTAATTTAGCAAGTTTCGTGGTTTTTAATGAGCTTTATCTTCTTCATATCTCCTCTCAAATTAGGAAGACGAAAGTCTTATACGCTTTGCTCCGTTTCTTTGTAGAACAATACTGTATTGAGGTATAAAAAAGATGGAAGGAAATTTCTTTTATGCAAGAAAAATATTGTTAATTAGAGAAAACAAAGTTGTAAAAAAAGATTTATATGAATTAAATTTCGGTCGAATGAATTAATTATGACTGCTTTACAAAAATATCGATTTGCCAACTCCAGCACAATCAATAGATCATAGCAATTAATTTTTTAAACCTTTTATAGATTTTACTTCAGGTTTTACTAATAGTTTCACCTACTTTTCATGCCCCTTTTATTGATTCAATTCATAATTAGTGCAAGAAAATCTTTTATTTTTCAAAGCAGGCAATTATCATAACTCATAAAAAAACCACTTTAACACTCTAATAAACAATTTTAAACGATTAATTAATTAAGTTCGAATGAAAATGAATTATATCTAATTCCATTTTAAAGTTTAATTAAAGACTGTGGAAAAATATTTTCAGTTTGTTTTGTTTGGTTACTTCATTTTTACATTAGATATAAACTTTTGATTAAAACATTTAAGTTTCTAAACTTTAATGAAAATAAAATAGTTCTTTTCAAACAAAAAAATAACTTTTATAGAGTTAGAATCTATGTAAACTATATTTTCGTGCAAATATTGCAACTCTCAACAGTTTTAATGCAAACCACTAAATCAATTTAATTTACGGTTTGTCAGTAAAATCCCTATCTATTTTTAGGCCGACAACGTAATCCCTACTTAAAGCTCATAATTTATTAATTATAAACTAATGAGTGTATTATTTCCAGTTTTACGGCCTTATAAACTTTCTAAAAGGGTTTGGGATACCGTCAGTGAGTTACATACCCTATTCGTTTGCCTTATAATTTTAATTTTTAATAGACAATTATTTGAATGTAATTATTTAGGATTGTCTGTAGTTAATGATGGCGTGCCAAGGCAATTTCATTTTTCCAGAAAAAAATAGGCAAAGTCGGTGTTGTTGAGTTCCTTTAATAATTTATTAATTTAATTTTGTGTTTAATAAATTTGATAGAAGTAAAAAAGGAATCAAACGAATAGATGTAATTATTAGATATCTATAATGTATTGTATTAAAATGTTACATAATACTTTTCACTATAGGGTCCAAATTGCAGACATTTCTCATATAAACCCCATTGTTAAAACGTTATTGTTTGTTTTATACTCGTTTTTAACGGTTATATAATGGGATGTTCAGAGTCAAAAACAATCTAATAGCAAATCGATAATCCCTCGGTAAAAATCCTGTTTTCCAAATAATATAATAAAGCGAAAACTTTATTACGCCCAATTTTACAGCGGCCTCTTTTCGCAAATAATTCCCCAATAATTTCCATAAAGCTCTCACTTTTGAATTAAATAAAAAGTTGCGAAACTTTTAATAAGCCGGCTTTAGGTAATACATTTTTTTTCGATTAATCCAATTCAAACTCACCTACATGTCGAAAGCGATAATCCATTATAATTAAAACCGCGACAGTGGGAAAAAGTCGACTACGAATTACACGAAAGTCGGAAAAATCCAACGGTCACAGTCGTGGAGTTATCCAGAGATGTGGATATTCGACGCGATGCTGAACGCGCAGTATTTCCACTCTTACTGACTGGATACGGGGACGCATTCAGCTTAAATACCCAAAAAGATTTTCCCGGCTGTTTTGCGTTTATTCGCACAGATGGCATCAGCGCCTTTCGCATGCTGGAAAACTCCATGAAGGGATGTTCAGCGCCAAAAATGGGTACTACTCATTTCGGAAAATATTACATTTTTATCACATAAAACAATTCACATCGATCCTTAAGAGGATCATATAGAGGGTGGCTCGCATATGAACTGACACAGAAGAGAGGAATGTAGGGAAGCCTAAAATATGTTGTTTAACCCAACTTTAACTTAATACCTTTTGAATTATCGACGATTTTAAGTGACATTGATAGTGTAGGTACATGACTTTATATTTTAGCGTTTTTCATCAAAACGACAAAGAATTTTAAAAAACAAACAGATTAAAAAATGTTTTGATGAAATTATCTATGAAATGACCTAATAATTTTTTAAATCATCCATCAGGTACAAAAATTCTGTAACATTTTAAGGGAGCATCATTCCTGATGAACCCTTTAAAATACATCAATTCATCTCTCCTAACTATCGATTAATGCTCTTAGTACACTCATTACGTATACCAAATTTACTTGTTTTATGTTTGAGTATTACTAAGATATTAATTTTTTTATTTGTAATTCCACACGCCTATAACTTCTCAGGAATGTAACTTTGTACATATTGAGTTAAGTTGTTTTAAACAACATATTTTGGGCACCCCTACATGGCCCAGCTCTGTATCGGTTCTTATTCGGGACACCCTGTATAAAAATTCCTCAGGAGCGAAAATCCAATTTCCAAAATAATTTTTAACATTATACTCTTACCAATAACAAAAACTAAGTAAAGAAAATTACACTAAATGCTTTGTGATGATATAATAAAGAGAAAATGGTTTCATAAAGCATCATAAAATTTTTATTTCCAAATACATAAATTTTGTAACAAAATATAATATACATAAATTAAATTATTAACAAATATAACAGAAAGAATAAAATACATAAAAGTTTAAAACAAACCACACCAAATGAAATAAAATTAGAAAAAAATGTATATAAACGTGAACAAAGCGTACATGAAATTACCAGAGGAGTAGAAAAATAGTTTTTATAATTGATATTTCCATAAACTGCTTTCTATAAAAATGTTCTCAATGCAATACGGAATGTATACTATAAAAATTGTAAATGCGGAGATTAGTATTTAGAGATTAAAAAAATCATTTCCATTTCCCAGCCAACACTCAAACAAAATCGAATGTTGCAATAATGGAATTAAAAACGAATAATTTAACAGAGCAATAATGAACAATTGGCAAAAAACGCTATTTTTAAGTTAATTATGGCACCACTAAAACTTCATAAAACCGTTCGTTATCATACTTTACAAACATATACTCAAATAGTTAAACCTATATGATTCTGCCGCAAGTTCGTTACCAAATTTTATTAAAAAGTTCCATGAAAGAATCGTATATCATAAACGTAATAGCGACGTCTAGACACACTCTTCCCAACCTCGGCACAGTGCCCTTGTAGAAAGCAGCGGGCCCTTCATTTTTGAAAATTTGCACAGCGCAATCTAAAGTATTCTTGTATTTCGAAGCTTCCAAACCTTGCATTCTCGTCTTCACCACGTCGATCGGAGTGTTCCCGTACACAGAAGCAGCACCTGCAGAATCGATACGAATAAACGATACAGAATTAACTAATAGAATAAGTTATATACCCGCAATAGCACCGAAGGCTCCAACAACAAGTTTTGGAACTTTCTTATCTTTATCTCCCCCTTTATACATATCCTTCAGAGTTTCCATAACGAAAAACCTTATCGCCTGGTTGGAACCTTGTTTCAGGATGGTCGGTGTCACCCCTTTGTAAACTCCACTGAACCCTAAGGAACGCTCATTGTGATATCGTTACTAGATAACTGGCGTGTTCGTTACCTTGTTCTTTAAGGATTATTCCCACGCCATGGACGAATCCTTTGAATCTGGGATTGGCGGATCTTTGATCGTTAATGAACTTCACCTTTACCGTTTCCATGGGAGTTACGGCGAAAATGGCCTCGCACACACCGGCGCCCAGGCCGCATAATAGCCTTCCGGAAGCGCTGAGCGAACCGTCAGGACCTGCTACTCGACTTTTGAAGGATTCAAACGAGCCAAATCTACGGATTTTATGAGATTATTTGTGGTTTATGCAAAAATATATCAGACCTACCGAACAGCACTCTTCGGTATTGAACCGTACAACAACACACTAAGGCCTCTGTATAAACCGAAGAAACCGTGACCTTTTACTGTTTTCTTCACGCAATCTAATATGCCATTGTATTTCTTTCGGTCTCCCTTTTCGTCCAGCTGGAGCTGGGTTTTTACGTATTCAGTCGGAAATGTTATGCATATCTCAATTCCACCAGTAATACCGCCTAAAACAAAATTAAAAATAATATACAGCTGGATTAAAAAGCATGAAATAAAAGAATTAGTTGAGATATCTGATTTTTTTTACCTGCTACGATTCCTTTGAGTCCAATGTTTCCATCGGCCGGGGCAGCAGCTCCTGAATTTTGCAACCATGGCCTCTTAAATGGATATGTGAATTTCGGAGGAACTGAAGAACTCATTTTTTCCTTGAAATATTTGAACTAAAATGATATGAAACTACGGTTATTAAATAACTCGGTATTCATAATTTTTTATTATTCTAGGAATCGTTAACTGGATATTGAGGTAATGACTAGAAAGTATGTAAGTAACATGTTTTTTGTGAAAATATGTGTTTTTTCCAAATATATCACTATGTGCACGATTTAACCTTGTTATTAATATTATTTTTTTATAATTGAATTTCCTTACATGATTAAAATTGTAGGTTTACGATTATTAATTTAAATGGAATGCTGCATTATAACAAATTTTGATAAAAATTTCTAAGATGAGGAATCGCTATAATTAAAGTGTGTTAAGTAATTTACAGAAACAAAACTGAAGAATAGCTGTAGTGAGGTGGGAACTATACCTAAATTAAAAGTTTGTTGACCTATTTGAATACATTAACATATATCATTTACAATCGTGAATTATTTTTAAGAATACTCAATTGTTTAAAAAATGAAGATTCAATTATGGAGAGACACAAAATTTCAATTAAAAAATTGAGATAAAAATCTAAAATATAGCACTCTTAGAGAAGTGGAAAAATTACGCCAGAATTATAATTAAAAATCTCAAAGCAAAACAAAATTTTTGGCTCGCAAAAGTCCAAATTCTAATTCAAGAAATAAACATTTTTTTGTGTAATAAAAATAGAAAATTTTAACCAACCTTTCTTTCTACAGCGTGTTTCACAAACTGTATTTCTGAGTAAACTGAGTCTATTAATCAGTGGCCAAAGTAATGCACAGATTAGATTAGACAAGGTTACAAAGAAGTTAAACTTTTGAATGTGAAATCGTTTTGATCATTAATTTAAGGCATGTACACACAGAGTATACGTTTTAGATCGCACTAGCAAGTACACATCTTTAATAGATCTATTTAATTATAATTACGCATTTAACTGTAAAAAAATATGTGATTATTAACTAAAAAAAACTCTCTGAGTGTGCAATCTATTTTTGAGCTGGAACGGGTAAACTTAATACGTCTCTGTAATCAGTACAGTATTGTACAAAACAGTAGGATATGTTACGGGTAAAGTTAGATAAATGACTAAACCTAGGTTTACGCGGGTAAAATGCAAAATACCCAAGAAACATGGGTAAAGTAGGGTAGGTTTTTTGGGTTTCTTGGGTTCCTGTTATGCCACAAGAAAACCACCGCATTCGCATTTTACCCGCATAAACCTGGGTTTAGTCGTTTATCTAACTTACCAGTAACATACACACATATTTGGTTATATCAGTTATATTATTAATAATCAAGTATTATGTAAAACATCATGCATTGATTCTGTAATAACGATAAGCTTATATAGGCTAATGTTCAATAAAATTTTATAAAAATTCAAGGTTGGTATGTGAAGGTCTAAAATAATTTTTAATAAAATTTTCGAATATTAAATTTAATATACCTACTCCGTGAACAATTGAAATTTTATCATTATTTCAGTAATTATGATAGGCAAATAAACAAATGACTAGATACTTGAAACTTGTAATAATATCAATATTGCAATTATATAATATTTATCAAAATATTATGATCAACGAAATGAACTTAGATACAATATAAAAATAGTGTTAAGTAGAAAGTTTGCTGGATAACCTTGTTCATAGAAAATGGTTTCTGTAATCCATGACTAGCAAATGTTTAATGTAGTATTTAATTTGAACAAACTTGGAATTAAAAAATAACTATATAAACGGAAAAAAACCTTAGATTTCATCGTTTAATCTTCAATTTATACCAGAAGGCTTAATATTAAGATAAACATTCTTTCAATCCGAACCTAAAATCTAATTCTTATCTTATTAACACTTTATTTACCTTCGAGTCTAGTAGAAAATCGTTTTCTTCTCAAATTTAAGATATTATTTCTAAGCACTTAAAGAAACCATGCATTAATTTAAATACTCTTTTAATCTTAAAATAATTATTTAATGGAACTGAAAAACAAATGAAAATTTAAATAATGGTAGTAAACTTACGTCAAATTAATTATGTCACAACAACACATGACATTGTTGAGGTTAGGGACATACGGTGTTGCCATGTTTAGTCTAAGATAAAAATTTTATAAACATGTAATGTTGGTTGCCGATAATTCAGGTGAAACCATCAACACTTCTGTAGTTTATAATATAATCGAAAAAATGTAAAAAAAGTTTATTTATATATTGTTTCATACTTTAAAGTTCAAATTACATCAATACATTAATACTAAGTAATATTATTGAAACTTACAAGTAAAATTTTAGTGCAAAAAGTCTGCATACTTATACATTTTTCTAGAGTATAATTTTTGTTTTCTTGTATCATCTGTAATGCTTAATTACTATTTCAGACATCCTATCTAACAAAAGAAAAAGAATTAAATATTTTAAATAAAAATCAGAAAGCAAAATTGATATATCGTAAAAAAATAAGATACCTTTAGTAATGGTTAAATTTTGAAAATCAATTTTAAACGCAACAAAAAAAGGTCTACTTTTTCTACCAACCCGGCGTAGTGTTAGCCAATCTTCTAATTCTACGAGTATTCCTGTCTTGGTCGCGAATTTTCTTCTCCATTTCCGCGTCAGTCAAGGTTTCCAAAAACGGAGCCCACTGATCCGATTCACTGGGATTTCTGAATGGTACCTGCACCAAAACCAAATTTCAGTTACAACAAATAATTTATGCATTAATGTACTCGCCTCTACAGTCGGAAGAGGTGCTTCACTGAAAGCATAAGTCCTCTGGTGCCAAGAGAGCTGACCTCTAATAGAATAAGCAATCGCAGTGACAAATTCACCACCAAGACCCAATTCTGCGCAAAGTTTCAACGCAAATTCTTCGGGATTATTTTGCTTTTCGCTCATATCCCATTCGACCTACAAAGTAACAATTTGTACCAATCACATCAAGGGTTTTGTTTCGATTAAATGTGCTACGCCATAAACCTATTTTGCAAATATAAAATTTACAATACTGTACTTGATCGACTAAAGATGTATTTCCCACGTGAATGTTTAACTTAATAATGACTCTTTGATCGCAGGTTTCCTCTATAATACTAGGAGGTTCTGTGGGGAATGCATCGAGTTGCTGTCTAATCGCTTGAGCAATCGCTGGTACAAATGTTAAAGGATTTAAATCAAGATCGTCGCAGAGGACTTCAGCAAATTGTTCGGGTGTTATTAAACTCTCTAAAAACAAAAAAATGTTATTTTAAATAATTTAGAAACCAATTTTATCACCATTTTTATTCCAAGTAAATGTATCTCTGAGCTTCTGTCCTTCGATTTCCATGTCAAGTCTAATAGGAACTAGCAGTTCTTGTTGACAAGCATTTTCTATGTTTATTTGGGGATCGGTGTCATCAAAACATAGTGGAAATGTTCTCACCTGCATTAAGTCGACAATTTGTTATTTTAATTCATTAATAAATATACTTATGTACCTTTTTAGCAGCTACTCTGTTTCTATTAATAGATGTAGCTTGTGGAACGGCATCTAAGTGACTGGAATTGGGTAACGAAGGTACCCACTGCATGTTTTTCTTGGATTTTCCCTCTCTTGGCATAGGAGGTTCGGAAGTGTGTACAGATACAGCTTTATACCTGAAGAAAATATGTCTTACAAAATACTGTTCAAGCACAGTACGAAATAAATAATGTTTAAATAATAAATGAACATTTAACAAAATGAAACATCAATACAACCAGGCTGACGACTTTTTCTAAATTGCTGATCAAAAAAAGTTGTCTGAGAAAGATTTTTTTTAGAAGACAGAAATTTGTATTGTTTAACTAATTACTTTTCATCATTTCCTTCAATTATATCTTCAACTTCTTCTGCTCTAAGCAATGATACGCTACTGGCTAGAACATGCTGGCTCAAACCGAGTTCAATCAACCTTCGTCTTTCTTCATTGGTTATGGACCTCCTGAACATTCCAGGATATTTTTTGTACAGGGATCCTCTAAAGAGGCGAAGATAATTTCCCACCTGTAAATTTGAACATATCATCAAGTATATCCAGAAAATGCTAATAAAAATTACCTCAGATCCAACACAGTAGTACTCTCCATTTTCTTCCAACTGGAAACTGATCGGTTTATCTCCGTAAGTTCTCAACGTCATCGTTTTGTTGCTATTAGATATTTTATTTATACGATAATAAAATCTTTTGACTATTCCAAATATAAAACACAAATATACGCAAACAAATTAAAATGCCTGTTAAGTCAACTGACAAGTCAACTGTCAACGTCAATGTCAGTATTAAAAACGTCAATAATAAGGCCTGGTTTATGTTTTAGATCAAATGAATTGGCTGTTATGAATAAAATATTTACAATATTATAACTAATTAGGTATTATAATAATTTAAAATTCTTTAAATATTACTTAAACATTACTAATAAACATTATTATGGAAATTGGAATTTTAATAGATCAGTAGTAAATAAAAGGATTTGATACTGTATTTAGCCATATGTGTAAAACTGGCTTAAGGGTAGTTTTTATCGACTTTTGTTTTGGTTTGTAAATGGTGCTTTTTCTGTTAGTGGGGGATTTTATACATTTTTAATTAATTTGAGGTAAATAATACACGCGGATCCTCACAAGAATGAGCGTTTTACGAGAAAAAGTAGACAGCATAAACAACAAACGATTACCTCAATTAGAACCTAAAGTAATAACACCAGAGGATGTTCTGAAACTCGCGAAGATCACCGATACCTATTTGTGCGACCCCGACGCGAATATATTCGATATCGACTTTACGAGATTCAAATTAAGGGATTTAGAAAGCGGCGCTATTTTATTCGAAATCGCCAAACCGCTGCCCGATAACATCGAGGATAATGTCGATAAGAACACGGAGAACGAGGAAATCGTCGATCCCAATGCTGGTAGATTCGTGAGGTACCAATTTACCCCGCAGTTCTTGAAACTAGAAACCGTAGGGGCCACGTAAGTATTACCCGAACGTGATAAATTATCATTAATTTCGTCTTGATTTCGTTATGTAGGGTTGAATTCACGGTCGGTTGTAAACCTGTAAACAACTTTCGAATGATAGAGCGCCACTTTTTTAGAGATAAATTGTTGAAAACTTTCGATTTTGAGTTCGGTTTTTGCATACCGTACTCGAGGAATACATGCGAGCATATATACGAGTTTCCTTCATTACCTTCTGATCTAAGTAAGTACAATGATCATCGTTTGAAATTAATGCTGCAATTTGAATTTGTTTCAGTCGAAGAGATGATTAACAATCCATTCGATACCAGATCGGATTCGTTTTATTTCGTCGATAACTGTCTTATAATGCACAACAAAGCTGATTATGCTTACAACGGTGGTTTGTCCACATAACATTAAATTTCCTATACAGGGTTTCAGAACACAATAATTTTGATGTTTGAGAAGAATTTACACATTTGAGCAATTACAATAAAGCTCTGAAGCGTTTGGGTTTACACTATTTTCGAGCACAAACTCGGCTTTAAAGGCATATATTCACATCGTGTGCTTATTTCAGAAGTCTTTAGAATCTACAATAATTATATTAGAGAGCTTCAATTGATGGCTTAATCAATTGTTAATTAAATTTAGATATAAGCGAGTTTTATCAGGGTTCATGCTATTGGAAGTCGTTGAAATAATTTAATGCGCCCTGTTTTGATTGGTTTTAAGCTTTTAGTTTCTGTGATAAGTATTTTTAAACGTGCCTTTTCACTTTTTTTTTCATGTTTACAAATTGGATTGTATGTACTAGAAAAGGAAACGAATTTTATGGAAATTTTCTCTTCAGGTGTCTTTGTAATATTTTTGTATGTTATTTGCCTAAAAAACATACATTTTAATCCGTTTGGTACATATTTTTTTGTATAAAATGATTCATTATTATTAAAACTTAATACAATACCTGAAAATATAATTTACGTTTTTAAATGTATTTAAATAAAAATATGTGATACTACTTATAATCGTGACATTAAATTTTGTTCATTAATCAAAGTTATACCTTTAATAAACTTTAAAATCTGTGTGAAGTAAATTTGGGCGTCATTTTAAGTAAAATATGCAACAGTAATCAAACTAGAAAGTGGTTTTTGTGAAAAAAATATATGATAATGTTCATTAAATTATAATGTAGTTTACTGTATACAGGTAAAAGAATAATACAAAATAATTAAAGTGTTCAAATTGCATTTAAAGTAAAAACTTAGAGAATTTAGAGTAACTAAGAACTTGAAAGATTTTTGGGTTATTATCAAAAGTATTTAAACAAGCTTTGTCTTATTTGCTTCAATAAGCGTAAAAAGATTTTTTAATACTTTGGAATGAAGTTACAGGAGGTTCAAATTCAAGTGGAACATGTTTTGAAAAGCGCAGTACACACTGAATGCACCGATTTGTTTTGACTGTATTTTTTGTACATTTATTTATATAAAATAAAATTTAGAGATTGAAAGTTTTGTATTTATTGCAAATATATTTACAATCTGAGAAACTATTCATACAAACATTTATTACAAAAACGCAGGTTTATTACAACAAATTTTTACAAACTTAACTGCACAATAAAATAGCACAAGAAGGGAACAACCATGATTTAGGTTCATTAAATAATTTTCAACAAATCTTTACTGACTTATTACAATTTATACACATCCTAGGAATAAATATATATTGCGATATAATAACATGTACTGTGATTTACCCGTGGTAGAATTAATATCTGCAAAATAGTCTGTTCAATCTGGTATGGCTAAATCTAATTCAACATCAACTAAATTCATTTGTTGCAAAGAATTGATTAACATGTATCTGCTGAAGTACATATAGAGGATGCGATACCATTTCAATTGGGACTTGTGTTGCCTCATTGCTTTATGTATAATGTTTCTACCTTCAAAACTTTCCATGAACCTAAAATTTAATAACAATATTTAGAACGTCTCCAAAGAGATCAATAAAAAATTTAAATACTCGCCTATATTTGGAAAATATTATTGAAAATGGTATATCCAATAGAAACCAGTATTTTCTAATTATATTGGTTGTATCAAGAACATATACACTACAGTCTGCAATAAATTACATATTATATAATTAGTAATTAATGTATTAATAAAACTTACTTCTTGGTAAAAAATTATCCAAAATAAGATTAGCTACGGCATAATATATGCTGCAATGGTTGTTGTGGTATGAAACTCCATATCGATCAAAAGTAACGATGGTTGATATATCTAAACTTTCAACGTATTTTAACACTAACGTTGATACGACTTCCGTAGGCCATCGTACATCCATTGCATCAGGAAGTAAAGAGTGCGCGTGAATAAATATATTTTCAGGAGGAATCCCTAGTACATTGCACGCGTTCAGAAGTTCCCCTTTTCTTAACTCTCCCATACCGTAGTTTTTTCCTGAAAATTAGGTTAACTTATACCTTTACTTTACGATATTTGATTTGACAAACCTGTGGATAAGCATAATATAAAGACAGAACGTCTAGATTTCCTGGTAAAATGTAGAATTGTTGGGCCAAAAAACATGCATTCATCGTCAGGATGCGCAATTACAAACAACAATCGCCTCGACTGTAATGGCTCTCGGGTGAATTTCATGATACCCCAAACTTGAATGCACAAGTACAACGTGATACATATTACTATGTAAATTAAACAGCCTAAAATTAAATGCTCCACTGTGTCTCTAAGGTATTCCAACAAATTCGAAATGAAATTGGAGGATATTTGCGATATATCTTCCTTCAACAAAGTGAAATTTAAAACTACACTCGTTCCAAGCATGGAGTGCTGTGTTCATTTCAACAGAGATTTAAATTTATTAATAGAATATTCCGACATTCATTATAAATAGTTTCTTCCAAAATAAAGTATCAAATCAACATTCAGGTTTGACATTTGATAGGTTAGGAATTTTCTTCTTTTATTTTTAATTTATATCATTCGAACTACTTTGGCTGAATACACGTATAGAAAACGACAACATAGGGAAATTATACGTTATTGTAAAAAAAGAAGAACTGTCAAAAGTCGTCACATCCGCTTGCCGTTTTCAGCTTGCAGCCATTTTTCATTCGTTCGACGACGTTAGTATTGTGGGTATTGTGTTTGTGTATAACTGCCCATTTGATGTACGTTATTACTTGAAAAATGGGTTCTACAAAGGGTGATAGCGTAAACAGTAGTATCAAGAACAATTCAAAACCTTATGGAAATGTAATACTTACATTGAAAAATCAGTTACTGCCAGAAGAAAAGCTCTCTCCGACACCGTCCCAGCAAGATGGGCTTGGTTTGGAAACCGAAATAGATTTGCGTATTTACGGATGCGAATTAATTCAAACTGCCGGGATTTTATTGAGGCTGCCTCAGGTATGTTACTTTCATTGATTTTTTTATATAACTTGGTTCACAAACAGGTGTTAATTATATTGGCCGATCTCTTTTTAGGTAGCAATGGCCACTGGACAAGTCCTATTTCAACGATTTTACTATTCCAAAAGCCTCGTCAGGCATCCAGTCGAGCATACGGCTATGGCTTGTGTATGTTTAGCTTCCAAAATCGAGGAGGCACCCAGAAGGGTTAGAGACGTTATGAATGTCTTTACCCACATTCGACAAGTCAATTCAAATAGGTAAATTTCTTTTTTTTATTATTTAATTAGTTCTTATTAACGTACAATTGAAAACTACTAATTAGTTAATTCATCTTATTCATGTTTGCATCGAGAGATTGCTTAAAAATGCACATCATTTGGTTACGATTATACCTACATAAATATAAAATATACAATTTATTTTAAACAATAACAATTATACATTACGATAACAAAATTGCTATTTTTATATTTGTATGTATTTTCACACATATTAGTGTTTTCACCTTATTGTTAATGAAACCAAATGATATGTATTCTAGTTATTAAAATTTATTTCAGTTAACTTGAACTCCGCTGTTAATTTACATACGTTTTTTTTTGTTTGTGGTAAATCTAGGAAAAGTTTCTGTTAGGGTGCAAATTATGTACCATTTCTTTCAATTTCAGAGAGGAATATAATGTTTAATAATTTTTGAAAATCATTAAAAAAACACCAAAAAATTAAGGTAAATATTTTACTGAGAAAAAGTTCGATGTAAATGTATTCAAAATTTGAATGCTATTGGCACATTGATAATATAAGAATTACGTAAAGTTGATTTTAAACATTACACTTTTGTAGTCTACTTAAACGTAACTGTTTCAATCACCAAGATTAGATTTATGTAAAAATGATTTGTTTTTACATAATAAATAGAAGATAATTTAATTGGATTGTTGGATTTATATGTGGTATCTAATAGTAATGATGAAATGTTACTTTTTTTTAACTCTTAAAACTCGTTTTTTGGTTTTTCTTTGAATGTCGTATGAAAAACAATACTCAAGTATCATTGTTAATTTACAGAGGCTCCAAAAATATGGCTCTATAATGGGCCTCTGTGTATGAGAACTCTTCATGAAGCTGTGTGGAACCTTTTTGTACCACCAGACATGAAAAACTACTACAAATATTTACCGTCTTCCATCTGACGGTTTTTGGGGTGAGAGTATGTACAAATAACTTCAACATTTTTTGGATTCTTACGTTGTTTATTGTTAACGACCAGTGGAAAATTTTGATTGAGGACAATTGAGGAGAGTATTTTGTGTTGCAAGTTAAAGGTAACGTACTTATATATCATAATTACATCAATTTTGTAAAGAAAAACTTATACTTTTTAAAACAAATATTGAAATAGTATGTTGCTTACTGAAAATTATGTACTTTGTTGTTTACATTCATTTATAATTAGATTTTGAATCACTTGCTGGGATTATCCCATTATTCTGTTTTTTGTAATTTTTTAGATAACAAACTCAAACGATTTCAATTAATTGTGCAATTACTAATTATTGATAATTTTTAAAATATCTCTAAAGTTGTCTGGTAAAAATACGTTTAAACATTCCTATATTTTAATAATTTTCAGTACTGCAATATCATTATCTTTTATGTAATAACTGTTCTAATGTTAATTTATTTTAGCTAATATTTTATGATTTTGTCCAATGGATTGATTTGATTGTGTTTATTATCGGATATGTAAAGGTAGGTTGATTTTGAAACAAAAATTGAGCGAAAAATATTACCTTGAGGCCACTATTTGACAACTACTGTAAATATGTTGATTGACGTAAAATGTATAAAATCTGATTATAATTTAACAAATTAAAGCAGCTTTTTATAGAGATAAGTACGCAATATGGTCTATCGGTGAAACAAAGACTTCCTTTAGTCTCATATAAAGAGAAAGACAATAATATTGTGGAATATTCCAACTTTCTCACTCACCACTGTTATTTTAACAATTTGTCTTTGTTCAATTCATAGAATTGACCATATTGCACTTACTCATGTCTAGAATGGCAAAATTATATTTACCAAGATAATATTGATTATAATACTTTTAGATGAGTTATTTTATAGTCAGATATCTGTTTACATTCTTTTAAACATTTAAGGTAAACAATTCTATTTGAGAATTACAAATATAATTTTAAATTTCTTAGCTTAGCTACTTATCAGGAGAGTTAATCGAATTTTGATAAGCTGAACATAGTATGCTTTTTATAAATAGAGCTTTAAAATTTCATTCTTTCTTACGTCTTCCAATATGCATTGCTAACTTCAGGTAAGTGCTTATGTGCTTAAAAGTTATCTAATGTGCAACTGGTTTCAGATATAGCTTGCAATGTAATCTAATTTATAGTCTGCTATAATGGTTAATGCTAATTGTCCAAATGATTTTGTAATGATTTCTAATCTGCATTAGTGTTTGCTTTTAAGAGATGGCATTGTATTCTTTTCATTAAAAGCTTATTAATTCTGAAGAGAACCTTTATAATAAGGAAGTAGATATGAATTGAATCAAAATTTTTATTATTCCCTAGCATTAGTGGAAGGATTAAAATACCATTTACTTTATTCATTTTACCGGGAGTAATGTTTACTTAAAAACGGAGTTTATGGTTTCTGCTTAAACATTTGTTAGTCCGAAACCAACATATCCTTGGCGTAACAGGCGTGAGTTCTATTGTACAATTTGTTTGCCTAAAATTTGTGGACGAATGGAAAAATATCCGTGCTATAAGTTTAATTTACTTAACGAAGGGCTAATACTATTCATTTTCCTTAGTACATCCGATTTTTTTTTGTATAAAAAATACGCATTTAGCATTTAACTTTCTGGTAAAATGGTAAATATACACATAAGTGCAAAATTGCTTGCAATTTACAGGTTAATACATATTAATTTGCAATATAAGCTATGTGTGCAATAAAGACAACTTCCATTAGACACTTACAAAGAAAAAAGAAAGGCTGTTATTGCGGGATTACAACATTTTTTCACTTTGTTATTGTATTTTTTTTCAAGTCGTACAATACACCTAGGTGCATAAAAGTTTGCAATATGGTCATTTCTATTAGTTAAAAAAAAGAAAGATTTTTAAAATAACAATTACAGTGAGAAAGTTGCAATCTGACAATGACACCCTTTTTCGTTCCATTATAAATAAGTGTCTTATGGAAGTTGTCTTTGTTGCACCCATAGCCTATATTGCAAACTAAAATGAATCAATCTGTACATACTGCTTGTATGTACTCATGTGTATGGTCAATTCTATGAGTTGAACAAAGAAAGATGAATGAAATAACAGTGGTTAGAGTGAGAAAGTTGAATTCTCGCAATATCACTCTTTTTCTTTTATATGATAGTAATGGAAGTTGTCTTTGTTGCACCCATAGCCTATATAGCAAAACATTTTGTATCTATGTATGTCTAGCTGCAACAAAAGATGGATTTGGCGGCTCAGTCTTAAAATTGTTGAATAATTTCCATGGTAATTAATATGATGATAAAAATTATCATATATCATCAATATTTTGGTAAATTAAAAGTTAAATAACATGTTTCTAATTCTATTTGAGAAATTAGAATGATGGAATATCTTAAGTATTCCATTGTGGACTATCTGCTATTGTTATTTATGATTTCTATCATTTTGATAGCGCTGCAGGAATATTTATATACCATCAACATTTTCCAAAATTGATAGTATCAATTTACAGATAAATTTCGAGGAGATAATTAACATTACTATGAAAATTGTAACGCTACTATAAAAACTAATCGTTTATACGAATATTTTCACTTAATTTCTAGAAACTTTTATGGAAGACTCGACGTATTAGCAGTTTGAGGAGAGTAGAAGAGGGTGTACGATTTATGAAGTATTTGTACTTCATTAATAAAAATAAATGGTGAAAGTATTAATTACAATATAGATTTTAGATTTACTTTGGCATTCCAAGGACATTTTTACAATTATTATTCTCTTAAGAGACTAAAACTAACTCAACAAATTTCATTTTTTGGTCGTCCAAGATTTGAAAATTTTGTGATACTCAGTTTTCTTATGATATGCAATTTTTGTTGAAAAAAAAATACACAAAATCAACCTACTTAAATTAATGTATAAGAAAATAAATTAATGCACATGATACAGCTAAGCAAAAATTACATTGTAAAAAAAGTTAATCTAAATTTTGCTGGGCTGCTCGATATTCAATATCCCATAAATTTTTCTCGATATAATACATCGACGAGAAGAAGTAAGTACATTATTCAAAGTTTCCGTGCCACCATTCGTTTCCATCTATTCCTCGATCGAATCCAAAAAATGTTGAATTTCTCTATCCATATATACCAAAGTGGTTACAACATGTAATTTTTTATGTTTTCAAATCGTGCGAAACGTTCCTCGAAATTAACAGCAATCGGAGTTCAAGTCGCAAAGAATGTTGTTACCATAAAATATTTTAGTATCGCCGTTTTCTTTTACTCTGTGCAGGCCCATTCAGCCGGTCATAATAGATCACAACTACATTCACCTCAAGAGTTTGGTCATCAAAGCGGAGAGAAGGGTCCTCAAGGAGTTGGGTTTTTGCGTGCACATTAAACATCCTCACAAGGTAATTTAATTACTTCTAATCGATCACTTTGAATGGCTTTAAGATGTAGTTAACGATTTATTATTAATTGCATTTCTGTTTAGTTATAGATAATTAATTCGTTTTCAGATTATCGTGATGTATTTGCAAGTGTTGGGCTACCACAATCATCAGAAATTGATGCAATATTCGTGGAATTACATGAACGATTCACTGAGGACGGACGTTTTCGTGCGATACCAACCGGAAACCGTCGCGTGCGCTTGCATTTACTTAACGGCCAGAAAATTGAAGTTACCTTTGCCGAAGAATCCGTCGTGGTTTTCGATTTTCGGGGCGAGCGAAGAGGAAATTCGTGATATTAGTATTAGGATATTGAAATTGTACGCTAGACCTAAGGTAAGTCGCATTTCGTTCGTTAATAAGTCGAGCGATTTTGATGAGCGTTAATTGTTTTTAGCCAAATATCGAATTGTTGGAGCAAAAAGTGGACGAGTTGTGCGAAAAGTACAAGACCGCCAGGGCGAAGGCGAGAGGTTCGGGTAACAACACGCCGAACAATTCCAGTCCGAATCAGGAGAAAATAACGGGAGCTCACAACGCTTGGGGAGGCTTCATTAGGTACGTATCTTAATGTTTTGCAATCGATCGAACAAAACGAATATTTTTTTTTTATTTTTTAGTCGTTCGGGTAGCCATATTGTACCGTCCGTCAACGATAAACACTCGAGATCGAGGTCCAGATCGGCCACGCATTCGCCGGAGAATAAGCACAGGAAGCGATCGAAAAAACACCGTTCCAGGAGCAGATCTGCCAGCAGGAATCACAAGAAAGGTCACAAGAGGAAAAGTTATTCGAGGTCCAGAAGCGCCACTCCACCTTCGAAGCTAAAAAAGAGGTATTTTTATGTTTGTACTAGCGGTTAGATTTGGCACTATTTTCATTGAATTTTACCTGCTTTTTTATTCATAGAAATTTTTCCCCATCATTATCACACTTGTGGTTTCCAAAAGATATCGCCATTCTTATTGGAATACCCTGTGTATGTTCGATTATAATCGCTACATTTTATTTATTCTTTAGGGACAAACGTAGGTCGTCACGTTCGCCCAGTAACGATAGGGAATCGAAGAACGACAGGTACATCGACAGATATGATAAATACGAGAAAGATAGATACAGAGATGACGAAAGGGATAGATATGCGGAAAAGGATAAATACGACGAGAAGAAAGAAAGGAAAGATAGATACGAGAGGGAAGATAAGTACAAAGACGATAAATATAGAGAGGATAAATATTCTAGAGACGATAGAGATAAATACAAAAAATCCAAGCATAGAGACGACGAAAAATCCGAGAGTAGATCTAAGGATAGACGAAGGTGAATAATTCGGTTTTTAAACTTTGTATTTCTTTTTGTTTTTAGCGTAATTTGTAAATATTAGATTGTAAATAAAAGTTATTTTCTATACAGATTAAGTCAATTTTAGTTGTATCTTCAGAGTGATTGTTTACTGCACTTTAGGTGAACATTGTTATACTTTTATCCAATTTTTTGCAGAAAATACCTCTTTTCGAAGACTTACGTGATAGTACTAGTTATTACCAACTACATACACAAGTTCCATAAAAGTTTTATTTCATTAAAATTTTAAAAATGTTCTGTTTTAGGTGGATTTACCCTAAAGTTTCAGTAAAGAAATTAGTAAAAATTTGCTAAAGGCAAGAACATCTCTAATGAAAAACCAAATTCAAACAAAAATATTTTATTTTTTCACATATTGTCACATACATAAAAAATAAAATTATACAATACTCAGCAACAACAGTCGATAAAGTAGAAAAAGTCATTGACAATATAAATTAACTTCATTGAATATTAATTATCATTAAAGCATCATTCGTCAATGTTTTTCTACCGTTCAAAAAATAAATAAAATTTTATAACATTAGTAAATATAGTAGTCGTTCACATCATCAAGCGCGAACACAATCAATTGACGAATCTTATTCGAAATATAGACTTAACACGTAGGGTAGAAATGTGTATATAATCAATTTAATAAAATTAACACCAGTCTTCTCAGTTATGATTTTAAAAAGCTGATGAGAAATCGTCAACAATCAACTGAAACAAAACATTGAACAACTTTGAAACAAATTAACTGAACAACAAAACTGAAAAAAAAAATTAATCAAATCCTCAAAAAAAATACAGTCGATCATCGACGAAATGTAATTAAAAATCAAATAAAACTTTCTGTGAATTGAATAAGCAAATCGCCTCAAAACAGAAACGGGTTATGGAACAAGGTGTCACCTGCTCCCAGATTTCTCATGTTATTCAAATGGAATTTGCCGAATCGATTTTGGAAATTGCTTCTGGGATTCATTTCTCTAAAAGGCAATACTCCTCTAAATTGGGGAAATCCTAGAGAGAAAAAAATGTAACTAACAAACCAATTTTTAACACTATGCAACAGCGCAAATTTGATTATGAACTCTATTTCGCATAAAAAAATATTAATTTTTTTTGAAATGCTGAAAGAAACAGTACAATTAAATGAATACCTACATACTGATTACACAAACTTTTAGAATTTGATTGATATAAAAATAATTAAGTATGTAATTAAAGAAAAATTATTGGAAAATCACTTATGAACAACCCATTCAATTATTCTATTTTGATTGAGTGATACATTTTAATAATTAGTGCATTTATAGACATTAGTTCATAAATGTCTTTCTTACAGAAGAAAATTCAATTAAAAATTTTATGCAAATTGATTATCATTCAACAGTTATAGCTGTGCTACCATTACAGTAGAGATAGTAAAAAAATGGTTCGATTAGTACTCTGCCTGCTTTACTCTGTTTCCTTTATAGAAATAACATTTATTGATTGTGCAAACTATTGCAATTCCTTTCGAGTAAAGCAGACAGATCTAATAATATACCCTAAATAATAACAGTCCACTGATCACATAGAATTATTTAGGCGCAAAGTAAACAAAATCCCTATCGCTATTCCCTCATCTCTTACCCCTGTTGAACCCCATCGGATCCCACACGTCCAAATACTGCGCCTTCTGTCTACCATGATCTTCGGCGACTCTCACGTTCAAAGGTAACATGGCGTTCTTCAACATCGTGCCGTGCAAACTGGCTATCGCTGCTTGGGCCTCCTCGCCTTTCGAGAACCTAAAACCCCGATTAATTACCACCGAAATCGCCATCGTTTTCATATAATTTACCTCACAAAAGCAACTCCTCTCGGCATTCCCGTCACTTTGTCCTTTAACACGGTTCTTTGCACGATTTCACCGTAGCCTCGAAACAAGTTGTCCACCTCTTCCTCTGTGATGTCTTTCGGTAGATTCGTGATGTACAGGTTGGAATCTTTCATGTCGGTGCCTGGAGGTCGAGAGTACGAAACCTTCAGCCGTTTGTTTCTAAAAACACACCCAAATTACATTAGTATTGTCTTACAGGTAAAGTTAGATTAAAAACTAAACCTAGGTTTACACCAAGAAGCATGGGTAGAGTAGTTTTAGGTTTCTTGGGTTCCCGTTATGCCACAAGCAACCTACCCCCTTACCCGTATTTCGCTCTTTACTTGGGTAAACCTAGGTTTAGTTGCTTATACCAGTAACATTTGCATTAAAACTGTAAAAATGGTACCTAAAATTGTATCCATTCAAAGCTTCAATGGCTTTAGCAGCATCCTCGGGCATGGAGTACTTGACAAAACCAAACCCAAAACTGTAGCCAGTCTTATAATCTCTCATAATCTTAATGCTTTCGACCTTCCCGATGGGGTTAAATATCTGCGCGAGATCGTCTTCGGTGGCGAATTGGGGTATATAATTAATGATCAGTTTCGTTTTGTCTGTTTGAGATTGATTGCTATCGCCGGCCCCATTGTTTGTTTCCATGGCCCTGTCTTGTATATTGCTGGAGTTTGAGTTGTCTTGTTTGATCGTTGTCGCAAACTAGGTATTGGAAAAATTGTAACCGATGTATTATATGGGTTTCCCTAGATGTGCGTACTTACTGGCAAATTTCCTAATTGGGTGCTAAACATCCTGAAAGCAAAAAATATAATCAAAAACCCGCTAACGTCACATCATAAAGGCTATAAAGCCGATAGCGAGCCAGATTATTTCCAACAGGCTATATTCGCAAGGACAAACGGAATTTCTCATATATCGTTTAAATTCTAAATTTCGGTTAATCTAAAATTACCTGAAAAATGGCACATGTATTAAAATGAGGTTATCAACCGGTAATCCAAGGAATATAAATTATTTTAAAATACCCAAGCGAATTTGTATACCTTTAAAACGAATTTTCGGGACGTAAGTTTTGATATTGACGTAACTTCTGGCAAAATCAAAGCGACTAATTTGTAATTTGAACAAAAACGAAACGCAAAAATACCAAAACAATCTTGATTTTATAAATTATTAAAAATTCGGTCAGTCAAACTCTGTTCGAAATTTTAATCCCGAACTACTACACCTCGCAACTGTCACAAGAATATTCACAAATATTACTACTTTTTATGACGTTTTACATTTAGTTTTCTGAAATTACTCTCATTACTGGTATTATTAATATGAAATTATCTCGTTTTTATTATTAACTTTGGGGAAAATAACTAAATTCATTTGAACTATTCTTACTTGTCATTGAGCATCAGCAGTTGAAACCGCACCAAGATCCTATTAAGAACGAGACCAATATCAAAAAGATGATGAAAATGACATATCAACATAACCTCACTTATGCTACCCTAATGCAATATAAATAAAATTAAATATTTATAAAAGAAAACGTTTTTATAAATTAAATTAGTAATTGCCAACAAATTAATGAATCCCAACGATGTCGCTGATACGGCTTCCAGCGATGCCGACGACGAAAAACGCAGACAATTTAAAATCAAGGGTACGTTGACTAAAATGCACAATTACAATTCAACTTCATGTAATTTTTAGCTGCGTTATTCTTGTCTGGCATATCTGGAATATCGGCGTTAGCTGGTTTCGGATGCACCATAGCTATGGCTAGAAAACAGGATCCTAAGTACTTCAATATCGGAATGACTCCAACAAGGGAACTTTCAGAGAGCGGTGCCTCCTTAGGTCTACGTGCACTCGGTTGGGGTACCTTGTACGCATTTGTTGGATGTGGCGTTTTCTTTTATGGCATTTGGAAATTATCTGGGGCTACTAATGTATTCGAATATGAATACAGGGTGCCCTACTTAAGTTCGAACTCTTTTCAATTATAAAAATTGTTCCCATAATAAAGATCTTTTGTGGTCCACCCTGTATGGCTAAAATTGGCTTATTAGTAATAAATTTCATTGTAGATGAAGGAGTTCCGATGTGCAATGGGAAATATATTGCCTGTCATACCTAAAAAGAATCCACAAGGCAGAAGTGAATTTAGTGGGTTGAATGATCTTTTGGACTATTTACAACACCAAAAAGGCACCAAAGATAAATAAAACAATGTCAGACGAAATACAGGGTGTCCCCATAAGAAGGGGAGCTCTACATGTTGTGTCGATTCTTATGCAGGACACCCTGTACAAGCAATAGGGAAATACACTTCAGTAGCGTTAAGTGTGTTAAATATGTTATAATTTTTTAGGAATAAAGTTATTGTAAGTAATAAAGTTTGTAGTGTTTCAATTTTTGGAGTGATAGAGGATTAACAAAAACGAAGAAATATTTTTTTAATGTTTGCTATTCCAGTAAATTGAATTATTACATGTCACACATACAATTCATACATCAATTTGATTTGGAGGAAACAAAAACATTGCAACAATATTTTTTCCTAATTTCACAACGTTATACCTATATCTTACAAATTATTTAATTTTTTTCGTAATGCCTTGAAATTTCACAGATAATTTTACACTAAACCTAATTTTCATTTTACAATAATAGAACGACATAAATAATTGCACACACGTACGGCTTTAGGGAATTTAGACATTTTTTGTTTTGTGATGTAATTGTTCGAGGTGATGTGTTTTCCATTTAAATCGAGAAAATATTCGCGCACGTGCGTAAAGTATTTATCAATCGCTTTACAAAATTTATAAAAATAAATTGTAATTCTCTTATAGCCAGACTGTTCGAATTTTATTTTCATCCAAAAAATTCAACGAAAATTAAACATCTTCCATACGATCAATCTTTCATGCAGAAAAGTCACTGCGATGTTCTACAGTTTACAAAAAAAATTTATATAGGAACTTAAACAATAACTACAAAAAGCAATATAAGTTAAAAAAATCAAATGGCAGTCAATTTTAATTAAAAATGGCAATAAAAAGACTGTAAAGTATAACTCTTAAACCTAAAATGTGCTCTATACCGTTTGATCGACTAACAGGATATTAATTTAATCAAACATACGGTATAAAAACAAAAAAATTTCAAAAGCGATAGTCGCAGTCATTATTTAACCGCTCTTTGAAATTTCCTTTACATAAGTTAGTAAAAATATATTATATAAAAGTATTATAAAATATTTTTTAAACTTTTTTAAACATCAAATAAATTTTACTATAACGTATACAATAATGTGTGATAAACAATAAGTTACTTTCAAATAATATTAACACTGTAGATACATTCACAATAGTTTGTAATAATAAGCAAAAAGATTTGAGTGCGACTCTCCACGTTTCCTTCCTTAATCTAGAAAAAATGCATTTAGTTCCAATCGAAACGTACAGAGTCCAAACAATCAGAATTCCGGCAAAAATACGTACTGTTATCGTATAATATAGCACAAGCATTTTAACGTAACTATTGTAACTGAACATTTAAAAATAATACATTCAAAAAACTTGCTTATATGTTAATATAGAAGTTCACACATACGAGATTTGATTTCGAACAAAATTGAAAATGTTTACCCATCGCTGCCAAAGATTTCTCTTCCATATGGAAAATATATTAATATGCAAACAAATCACAGTAGGGATGAAATATAGGAACGTTTATTCATAAATTGAGTCTATTGATCCACATATAGTTTATTCATCTAATTAAAATAATTGAGCTTTTAAATAATGAACTTACATGAAGTTCATGTGAGCTTAAAGGTGATTAGAATAATGAAGATATTAGTAGAACATTTTTTTTCACAATACGCAATTTCTTTTACTAGTAAATTTGAAATAAAATAGGACTCGAACTTATACAGGGATTAAAATAGCCAACGCTAAGACAGTTCCGAGCGAGTGATTAACATTTTCAATTCCAAATACTTTTAAGATCGTTTAGTTTTTGCAATCGTTGACACTTCGTCGAGCGCTTAAAAACCTAAGATAAAAAACATGTATTATCAGTTAACTATTGAACTACATATTGTATAACAATTAAAACACTTATCTATATCATTCTAGTGCAATTATTATGGCAAAGAAAACGTGCTGTCGAATTGTCAACTTACTCATTGTAGATGCTATAATTTGATTTCAATTATTTGTTCATTTTTACAGGCCTTTTAACAAAACAAAAAATAAATTATAATTACAATAGCTCGTCTACAAGTCCGGCTGAATTTCAAAAAGTAGTGTACGGACCGCTTTAATGTTGAATTAATAATTTTATGAGGGTAATCAGTTCTAGTATTTATTATATTTTTGTTTGAAAAGTTTGTGTTGAAATTTCGCAATTAAATAGCAATTTTACTCCTCAATTTGTATTAATATAAAGGCGACCAAGCACTAGCAATTTTCACTTATACAATCCGTACATAGAAGAGCCAGTATAATTATTTTTTATAGGAATTTATAATTTACAAAGATTTTGTATTATTCAAATATTATTTAAATAAAACTTAGATAATTTTCTCACTCCTAAACGATTAAAAATTGATTCGAATATAGATAATCAAGGCCTGAGTTATTACAAAAATTTGACGTAAATGTTTGATCTTAAAAATATTTTATTGACTCGATGAACTTAATATTTAACATGACGTATACAAAAAACGTAACATAACTTAACAATTTTAACTAACATTCAATTGTAAACTACAATATTTAATATATGTGGTTTTACTGAACAATGTTGAATTTTTCTTTCTTTCGATTTTGAAATTCTGTATGGCCGAAATATTTGCGTCTCCCAAAAGTGACTTTAGACTGTATATTTAAAAAGTGTATAGTGTGTAATTTGGAAAACAAATATTTATAAAAACACCCGCCTAAAAGTTGTATATCATCGTTAATTTCGATAATTGAAAATCAATATAAAACAATCATTAATGCTCGATGATTTCGTTATTTTTTATTAAATAAAACGTGTAGAATTTTGATCGAGTAACATCCGATTAAATTTGCGTATAAGTGTAGATGTGATTATTTGTAAATTCTGAATATATTATTGTAAAAAAAATAAAATGTAACTTCGTTATAAGAGAGCATTCATCTTGTTCCTACCAGTAAAATTACATACAGACCAACCAGCGGAATGCTAACTCACAACTCCGCTACTAATAAACTCGAACTGAAGTATGGTATATCTGAATTTTTGTATAGCATAACAAATGTTTTCGTTATGCGTTTAGACTATTGCTTTTTAACTGAAATTTTAAACAACGCCGTTTTGTCGCATGTAACACGCAGAGATTTTTTAACAATGTTTTCTTTTACACATCTACAAGCGGGACTCCTCAGCGATAAATAGGAAATAATTAGAGCTAAACAAACACATTCATTTGCGTTTAAATTGCGACAATTCGAAATTTACTCTATCTATTAACATTTAATTATTTGTTACTATTGCATGCAAATTTTGATGTACCACCAATTACGTTTTTCTATTTTTATGTGCGTAAGAATTCGATGGTGTTGTGGGTAATATTTTATTTTGGTTTACACGAATAAAATACTTGAAGTAGCTAGTAGCGAAGGGGTGTGGGGTGCGATACGGCATTTTTTTGGGCCTCCTGTATTAATGTGACAAAACGGCGTCAAAAAACTCTAACAAAACCATTTAAACTGAATATGGTTAGAAATTGAAAAACTGTTGTGTGAAAAACTCACACTTGTATTATGGGCTATTGCAAATAAATGATTTTTTTGGTAATTTTACAATAAATATTTGTCCATTCGGGCATTTAGACTTTAATATTTATGTAAAATACACTAAAAGGCGGACGCTTGGGTCCGCCTAGGGTGACAAAAATGTTGAATTCAATAATTGTTTTTGAAAAGAAAACCGCACCGGGATAAGAATAATGCGCAAAGATTTTCAAAATCAATTCTTGATTTGGGCTATTGTAAAATTTTTAATGTGATAATTACCTAAGTAATTATAGTGGGCAAAATATTTTGAAGCACTTTGTGCAACCGGGCTATTTGAATATTTTTTAAACTGTATGTATTTTAACATTTGCGTCAAGTCTATGGAAATTGTATTTTTGTGGCCGCCTTGCGGCCACCTCACTATTCGGTAGATGTTGCATAAAAGGCGACAATTTTCCTCAAACTGTTTTGCTATGTAACCGTTTGAAAAAACTGCCCAAAAATGTACACCCAAACCGGACAATCATTCATATATTTTTGTCTTGCTTGAATTCCAAATTAATTTCGAGATCGGTAGGCGAATGATTATCCATTTTAATAATTTTGATGCGAAATTTTTATTTTAATTTAGGAAAACCAAAAGCGTTCACGGGGGTGTTGAGAAATGAACTTTTATGCACGAAATTTTACACAATCGTGTACAGTGTGTGTAAAATGTCTTGTAACTGTCACTTTTTGGGGAATATGGCAGCAATTATTGAATTGCTGCATAACTATTGTAATATTTTAGCAACTATTGACTATATGTGGCTATTGATAAGATGTGGAGGAAAATAATTGAATTAGCGTTATTTACACACAAAATATAATTTTTGAGAAAAATTAAGGTAATTTTTCCGATGTATTGGGAATGCTTATGTACAGAGGCTCTTATTTAAATAAATTATATACAAATTATAAAACCACATTTTGTTTGTTTTTGAAAAGTAAATTTGAAATTAAGTACGAATTGATTTGTTTTTTGAAAATGTACAAAATAAATTTTGCTCTTTCACATTCGCTCGTCCTCATTTACGCAACAGTTCTGATATTTCAGAATAAAAATCATAGTTTTTTTCTTTTTCAAAATAAAATTAAGTATTTGTACTTTTCAATAAAATAGATAGATATAAAATTAAAGCCGATTTTTTTCATTTTCTTAAAAATAAAAATTATAAGATTTATATTGTAAAATCACAGTATAAATTGCAAAAAAATATGTTATTGCTAGGTATGTTACATTAAACCGGCCAAATTACAAAAAAAAAATAAAAATCACAGCAAAATAAAGAATTAAAATAAGTAGTATAAATTTTTGAAAAGTTCATATTTTCAAATATCTTTTTTAGAAAACGTTACTTGCAAATTCTCTATATGTCATTCATACAATTTTTATTCTAAAAACAAATAGAGATATATTTATATATACATCCTATATTTAAGTAATTTCGAAATGGAGGAGCACGCGTGTTCCTCCATTTCTTCATAACACTTATAACTATACATTGTTTAATGATTTTTTTGTAGTTGGCACTTTTAAAGTGCATTAATAAATTTAATATTATGGCCTAGCCATCAATTATTATACTGAGCGCACTAAACGCAATTTATTAAAAAAAGTGACTATTTGGCACATTATTGAAAAATTTAAAGATCAAAACTCAGTACGAAACACCCACACTGATGCTTACCAATTAATTAGGAGAAATAATGGCACTCATTATTGTTTTTTTAATTGTAGATAAATATTGCTTTCTGTGCCTGTTAGTTATTAAGGAAACCAGAAATAATATTATTGTAGCATCAATGTGGTGCATTAAATAGTAAAAGTACTGTTTGTAAACTGAAATTTACTGTATTTTTTAATTAGATTAATTATCGCAAATTAAATTTAGGTATTGATTGTGACATGAATACGAATATATACGATAATTAAACTAATTAAAAAATGCAGTAAATATTAAAAATAAAGTATTAATGGAAAACAGTAATTTTTAATAATTTAATAATTACTCATAATAATTCGATTTTAGACTGTCAAATATGTTATAGATTTAAATCATCACGTTTTGTACGATTTACTCTGCCCATTCTATTTCTAATTTAAAATAAACTATAATTATAATTTTAATATAATTACATTTAAAATTATTGTAATTAATTAAAAAAATCGCCAAAGGTAATTTAATTTAATTACAATTTCTAGTGAAGTAAAAACAAATCAATGTGATCAGATCAGTCTTCAATTTTGGACATTTATTAACTAATAAAAAAGCAAAGATACGAGGAGTGTTCGATATTTAAAGTGATGTCACGCATAAACGGATACGTTTTTTTATATTTTTTTTATTGTTTTTTTTTATCGTTTTTCGCGCACTATTAGGCAGATATGAAAAAATGTCTTCCAAATACTTTAAACATCGGACACTCCTCGCTCGTAAGTTTTGTAAGTACAATATAAAAATTTAAACACTTGTTCAAGGACCCCAATTTTGGAATATTTTTTGATAATTTTGTGGGCAACATTGTATATTGAGGTCCTAATTTTTGCATTGTAAAACTTTTCTTTCAAAACCAACATTTTGTACTTACAATAAAGGTAGTGAAAAAGTTGATAATAAATAATTACACATCAATAAAATGGGCTTAGTAGAATCCTTTGAATTAAATATTATGATAATTACTGTTTTGCTTTTCTCTGATTTATTAAAAACTAAAAAACACAACAACTTTGTACTATTCCTTTCGATAAAAAAGACGGATGGTTATTTGATATGAAGCACCGTTTTTAATAAAAAAAAATGGAGAGAATCTCTACAAGTAACTAACTAACCGTGTTCAACTATCCGCCTTTTTTCCGGCTTTATTAAATAGGTATTTTTTTATATAAACGAAACGGAGGATATTCCTTACGTATTATGCGTTCAGTAGTAGCTAAAATTTCATGGTTGTTGATTCTGTTGTTGGCTGGTTAGTGGGAACCCCAACGTCCTCGGATCGCTACCATGCAACCTCAAAGCCTGCTCTAACCTTTGTTCCTGCAGCCTCAGAGCTTCCGTAATGTCAGGACTAAGTTGTTGCGAAGATTGTCCCTGATGACCCTGATAATTCCCTATTAACACGCACAATTAATACTGCACATAAAACGATTAATATGCAGAAATACCGTTATGGCGTAGCGGACTGTGGCTGCTCTCCTGCTGGTGCTGGCTAAGCTGCGGCAGCGCCTGGCTCATCGCCAGTCTCAGCGCCGTCTCGGCCTGCGATCGGATCAGCGCCTCGGCGTGCTGCATCCTCAACGCCTCCTGCTGCTGCTGCTGCGACTGCTGCGTCGAAGACATGTCCATCACCGACGATCGCATCACGTCCATGTTCCGGATGCTGTCCATCGAGGCTCGCATCGCGTTCATCGCGTTCATTGACAGCGACAGCGTGTCGTTCGTTATCGGCGGCGTCGATGGGTTGCTCGAATTATTCACTTGGTTCGCCTGGGAAGCCCAAACAACGGGGAAAATTTAGTCATTTTGGTGTTGATGGTTAGAATTGGATTATAAAGATGTAGAAGGGTTAAAACAACAAAAGATGAGACAGAAGAGGAAGAGGAATGAATCGAGATTGACCCGAGAAGGGTAAAAATAATAGAAGATGATTGAATCAAGATGGACCAGATCATAAAATAAACTTGGTGGAAAGGCAATTAGCATTGGATAAGCCAGATGTAGAAGGACTAAAACAACAGTATGTGATGCTAATAGAAGTGTACTGAATCGGGTTAACTTCAGATCAAAAATAAACTTGGTGCTGGAAAGGGAATTAGTATGGAACTATTGAACAAGTTCCTTTACCTGTGTCACTCCGAGTCTCATGGCAAGATTGGCAAGATTGGCGGCAGTTAAATTGGCAGCTGCGGATGAATCTGAACCCAAACCCGGCGGTACACCGCCTTGGTTTACCATATTCGCTAAAACGGCCATTCTGTTCGCCGTGTGTAGTTGGTCTTCGACGTTGTATTGTTGGTGAAGTCCGTTATTATCTAGACGAAACGAATGTTCGTTAGTGATGGGACAAAATACTCGAATGGGTGTATATTGAAAGTGTGTATTATTGTGAGAAATGCTCGACTCACTTCTTAAGATATCACCTAATTTAGTATTGCAGTTATTGTTGTTGTTGTTCAGTCCACCTTCGGAGCCGGCAGAAGACAAGCGTCCGTTTCCTGATGAACTGTCGCTGTGCGCGCTGGGTGAAGCACACATTGGGCTGCCGCTCGCTGCGAAAGAACGTCGCGTTTACGAATATCCCGGGGGTTAATCGATGGAAATAACTCACCTGGTCCCATTCCAGTTAAAGCTAAAAGTCCGCTGCCGGAGGCTGATGTCACGGCAGCCAACAGGCTTTCCCTTTCTCTTCTTTCAGCGGCTGCTCGGGATAGAACGTACTGTGCGGCGAACTGGTGCTTGGGATCCATTCGCATGTGTTCCATGTGGGAGAGCAATCCTACCAAACATATTCGTTAGTGATAGTCCAGTTATTTTTTTCGAAAAAACAATATCGTAACTTAGTGACATAAATGGTAAAAGCACATAGAAAAAAAAAACAAAAAGATTGGTCGTATACGTGATTGAAAGCCAATGTTAAGCAAACTGGGGGTAATATTCTCATCAGTTTCAGTCCACATATGTATGTAAACAAAAAGTATAAAAAAATTAAACGATAATTAATAGAGAGGAATTTTCAATATTCGTTCCGTACAACTTACTCATGTTCCAATTGTTCTTAACAAAAACAAAAACGCATATGTGGACTTACTGGTGAGAATATTATCGATATAAAGGAATAGAACGGATTTTGTTCGCAAGTTACTCGCGCCAAAGTTTCGTCAACAAGGCGTACATCATCAGTCTGGATGATGTAACAGTGAAAAGCTAAGATTCTATTCCTCCATTTTGAAACACAATATATCGAACATTTTTTGATTTTGGTACCTGATTCATGAGTAAAAACGGCTTGACATACAGAACACGGCCACATTCGTAAGGAACTCGACAATTGTGACGTTTCGGGGTGACAAGCTAAATGCTTTCTCAATGAGCCTTCGTTGACATAGTGCTTCCCACAAACGGGACACGGGTGATTGGCAGTTCTCCTTTTCGCTAAATAAGGATCGATGACGTCAACAGAAGAGAGAAAAAAGATATAAAGCGAAGCACCCCAGGAATCTTTGTAAAAGCATTATAACTTATTTCTAAATTACTATTAAAACTATAAATATATATCGACATAATTGGTAGGTATGTGAGTCAAATTAAAAACAGCACACAGGATAAATTCACTAATCGCCTTTTTGCACGATCGCCCTGTATTTTCATTCAAATAATTATGTCGACATGATGTTTCCATGTTTAGAAAAAAATCATGAAAACGTTGAAAACGAACAAACTCCTCTCTGAAAAAAAGGGGAACTTGCCGGTTTTAAATTCATAGAATGATGTAACAAGTAACTATGGTTAATAAGCAAATAAATAAACAGCATACAAAAAGGACAGGGACCCGCGAAGCTCCACGTTAAATAAACCCTACAACCATGGAAATCGAATATTTAATTTGAATTATCGAACGATCAATTGATAGCATTGCTGTATTATAAGTACGTGACTCGATTTTGTTGATCGTTACTTGAAGAGGTGCTCAGGGATTAAGCGAAATCCTTACCGTGATGCTTTTCCATTGTAGCTACATCCAGAAATGCTGCCAACTTATCGTAAATATTCGATTTTTTGTAGTTTCTTTTTTCATATATTGCGTTTTATTATCGTTTAACATTACTTTCAGCATCATTTTGTAAACAAAAAGTTAAATAATCGAATGTAAAAATGCACTAAACTACATAAATTTTGACGACATTCCTTAAAATTAAAATAATTAAAATATATAAAACATTGATTCGTTTTCACCATTACCAAAACAATCAAGTTAAAAAGTTATGTTAATTGTCTTGTCAAATTAAAGATAATTTTTATAATATTTAAAGTAAAATTTATTACGTATATCTATAAAAATGCAGCATAATTTTCAAAATTATCGAAACACTAGGTACTTACTTTTGTTGGATAGATACCGTACATAGGTAGATTCACTCAAAATATTTTGCCCTGATAAATTGAAAAATTGATGACGGTGAAAAGGAAAGTTTTCTTTAGTGCCAAAAATTCTAAGCGTAGGTATTGATAAAAAAACTAAAATTTTAAATGAGAAAAGGGATACATACTATTTTTCTTTTTTAATGTCCGTTATTTACGAGCATCTTAAACTTTTTTCTCGATGTTAGCAAGAAAGTTAATATAAAAGGTCAAAAGATATTTTTTTTGAAAAATATGAATTCAAGTTAATTCGTCGGCATAAATAATAAATCAATGTCTAAATCCACTTAAAAATGTAAAAGGGCTTTTTTGTACATGAAATCGATCAGAGTTGAAAGGATTTTTGTTCGCCCCTCTGTTCTATTTATTTTTTAATTGTATTCAAATTAAGGTTTTCTGCCTTCTTTTCATTTTTGATACGCCTTTCATCGCTTGATACTTTCTCGAATTTACAGATTTCCAAGTTTTTAAAACAAGACAACTAACAAAGTGTTCTCACAAGTATCTACTGGATGGAAAACTTCGCCTTGTTCTTTGATGTTGAAAGTATTTCGAATGATATTTATCAGTTTTCATTATTCCAGCAGCCCGAGCAAATTAAAAGTTAGGAAAGCAAATAAAATGAATACCAGAAGCCGACCAACTGCAAGTTATTATATTATTATAATGTACACGAAGAAAAAACGTGTACTATCTACACTGATCACAAAAAAAATCGGAACAAATCTGTTCCCTAACTTGCAATTGTTCCTAATAAAATCACCAACTACTAAAACAAAAAATCGCATGCCAATTTGAATAAACAAACATCCAACCACCGAAAACATTAGCAACTTACTTGCTACCCCCGAAGCGTTGGGATCCTTGTGCGTGTGCTTCATGTGCTCCATGAGCGCTTCGCCGCCGAGGAACATCTTATGGCAAAGAGGACACGACGTGGCGTTCGGTCCACCGATCAAAGCTGCATGCTGCTGCAAACGACCAATACACTGTTGGCAAAACTTCGCGTTAATGTAAAGTTGAATCAAACCAATGGAGTGAGTTCTTCTCAATTGATGATGATTTTTCGAGAGACAAATGTCGAATGATTGGTTTGATTTTAACTTTTCTATTTTCTCTGATGGATACTATTGTTGTGTTGTAGCATGTCGAATGATAAAATCAAACATTTGTCGGTTTTGGGGGGATGTGTGACGAGAAGAACGTGATTTAAATGGTACAAGTACAAGGACTTCGTGAAATTGTTAATTTGCTTACAGTACCTATACAGTGTGAGTTAACATGTAATTATTGGATTTATCGAGATTAATTTCATCCAACAATACCTTTAATCGAATTCAAAACGATATATAAAACCGGAAACATTAACATAAAAACCGATGGTTCGTCGAGACTAAAGAAAAGTACGCCAGCGCATCGGCCATTGTTTATTCTATCAACAAACTACATCTAGAAATCTTATCGTATTCAAACATTTTGCGTTTAGCAAAACGTAAATTGTAAAATCCATAGCATAAATAATTCATTTTTATTCATTTAACCCGGCCGCGAGTGCGACTCTGCACATGAAGAGAATCGAGATAGGTTAAGAAGGTTATAATAAATATCAAGTGAATGAACTTGCTATTTTTTTCCATTCGTTACTCCTCGAAACTCGAAAGTAGTCGCCTCTGTTCCAAGTGGTTAGACGACGAAGGGCGCAGCCGTGATTAAATATTTCTATACGAGCCAACGAGAGAGGTGTCGTAATTTTTTTTCGATTTGATGCAAAGCAATTAAATTTAAACTCGCCGGTAAATTATGCAAATTGGACGGAGTTATGCAAATAGAGATTTTTCAAGCAAAACATGACAATTCTAGTTTGCAAGCAAGTGTCATTTAACTCTAACTATTACTAGTATAAAGTAATCTTAACAGCAGTTATGAGCACTCTTTCTACTTCGCAGCTATTCTCCACTCGATTTATGCTTATTACTATCGAATTTATAATATTAATAAAGAACCCAATTAATTAGCTATAGAAATAAATATTAATCTGCAGATATACATTGGTAAATTGCATATAATCTTGTTGTATTCACCCTTTTTTCCTTTAACATGAGTCATACGATGTAGGTCAATTTTGAACCCTTCGAAGCTTCTGTCATCATCCATAATAAATGGGAGTTGTAAAATAAACTGAGTAGTGTGGCCATAGAGAATGTATCGATTATTTTTTTAATCAACTCTTTTTATTGGCTGATGAGGGGCCCGAAAAGTATGCGGGTAAATAATTGTCTAATATTGATCATTTCTTAATCGCTCATTTTGGAATTTTAGTCGTTTATTCGACGCCTTTTAGAGAGTTAAAATTACAACTATTTTTATATTTACTGTTTACTATAAAGTGCTTTGTAATTAAATCGGCGATTAAAAATTTAATTAACCATCAGTTTGTAAAAATTTTCGAATTGCAAATTAAAAAATTAACGACCTTTTAGAAGTAATCTAAGTCGTTTTTAATTCGAGATTTATGCATCGCATTGAAAATTATATTTTAGTAATTAACCTTTTACTCTTTTCGTCTTAGCGCGGGTCGAAAAAAAAAGTAGCGACTTGTTTTACCCTGCATCTTCTTCCAGACAACGTTTGTAATTACTGTATATTCTTTATCGCATTTTGACTTCATTTGCTCGATTTTTTGCCGGGGAATTTTTCCCTTCCGAATTAACGTAGCTCCTTCAGGATGCCAAGGTGGATGCGGGAGCGAGAGAAGCGATAATTAAATATTAAACAGAGAAAATATAAGATCATTTGCAGTTGTAGCGCCGTTTTTCCGTATAAAATTATTCGTCCAATCTTGGCTTAGTTATCTCGCGCAGAACGAAACCCGTTGGAAAAAAATTAACCAAAAAAACATAGGTAAAGGTAAGCCGTTTAAAAACGCAAGTTCGCCGGATAAATGAGTTTTTAATTGCGCAATTCGGGCGGTTTTCCGTTCGTGATCGAAGAAAATTTTTGTGTGACATACACACATCAAATTGCATGTAGTATCGACTTTTCCACTGCGATTAGGCGAATTTAGTATCTTCGAACACGACAAATTTTTGTTATAAGAAGCGCTTATTGGCTTATTTCTACTTTTTATTACGTTATACCGGGTGTGCCAACAATTTAGAAGACATAGGGTGATGCAGGTATCAACCAAATATTTATAAAGAGTATAAAGATAGTATTATTTTACAAAAAACCCAAATTAAATTTTCAATTGGCTATTTATAAGTTTCCATTAAAAAAAAAATCCAAAGTAAGGTCTAAATATCAATAAATATAAAAGATAAAATGAATAAATTAAAATCCAATTATATTCGCATTGTTATAATTATCACAGCAATCGTACTTGCGTTTCTAAAATCGAGTCCGTTATGTGCCTGAGTTTTCTACCGCCCGATCGCGATGCGAAAATAAAAAGATAATTATTTATAAGCGTCCGATGAAGTTTACGTTAACGTCCCACACACTTTTAAAATACCGTTCGAACCTTTCGGGCTAGTTAGCGAACGCATATACCTACTTAAAGAAACTGTTTTCCTTTTCCATCGGATTTATGCGAATCGCCTATAAGTTGTTTGGGAAAGTTGGAATCGATTGTTAGTTCGATTGCGTACTGAAAGGAGGGTTTAGAGTTTTTAGAGCCTTCTTCGTTATTAGGTTTTGTAGATGCAAGAGGTATATATAGGTACGAAGGTTGATTGATCCTGTATAAATAATTTATAATTAAATCAGCCGCCATTTTATAGCAAATATCTAACGCAAATCTCCCGTGTATAATTACATTTTATCGCAGTCGCATCTACGCGATCTCTAATTGCAGACAATGCGAATTTTCTCACCACACATACCGGCCGCAATTTCCTATACCTATGTACGGCGTGTAAAAAACAATCGCGAAAATCTATGCGCCTATTTGTTGTTGGCATTAACGACCCCACCCAAACGATCGCCTAGCGAACCGGAGTGCACTTTTTTATTCGTAATTTTTTTACGCACGCGATTTCCATCGCCGCCTACTTCCTGTTCGAAGAGGAATATGTATAAAAAAAGCGAAGGCGAATAGGGGGAGAATCTGAAAAAAATCGGGTACACCCTCTTTAACCGCTATGCGGTCACATGACGAACGTTTCCAGACGACGAACGGCTATTCCCCGAAAATTAATTACAACTCCAAGGTTCCGTTGATGCATGCGTACAGGGTGATTCGGAAACGAGATATAAGAAAATTTATTTCACCGTAAAATTTTTTATTATCTTGAAAATGTAGAAATATAATTACCGGGTGTCTCTAATTAATTATTGTGTTTCTTGAGAAATTTGCGATGAAATATTTACTTAAATCAAAATTGACAATAAAAATTAGCAATATACTATTCAAAATTTACCTACCGGTAAATATTCATTCTATCAAAACCTGTCACTAGTTCCATTGGTTCAAATAAAGAGATTTTTATAGCTAGGTAAATACTAAATGAACTGTACCGTTCGTAACTAATAAATTTTATGTTCAATTTACTAATTTTTGTACTATAACAAAGAAGGTATTCTAACTTTGAGATAAGCTTGGGACATCCAGTACAGTCGGTGACATCCGAAAAATTATGCAACATTATCTATGTCACGATTGGGGAGAGAACGGAACGGACGAGGATTCTCACTTCGCGATTTTTAATTTCAATTTTCCCATTCAAAAAGAAAACGAATATACTTCGGACGCGGCGGAGCAGTTGGCACGATATTATTTCTTTCTTTATTTGGCGGCGTGTGAGAAACGCACACCTGGGCGTATCTATAGAAAGAATAAGATTAAAAATTCTTGGAGTAGAAATTGTAAATCGTCGCTCTGAAAAAAGTTTTTTTCCGGTCGAGCAGGAGGATGAATTTCATTAATATTTTCGTGGATATCTGGTATTAAATTTCTTTAATTATAAGATATATTTCGAAGAAAATCAAACCTAAAAATAATTATAAATTACGTAGTTCAATAAAACACGTGTTATTTACCTAGAATTGGTAAATAATTTCCTGGTTTCCCCTAAGAGAGTTTTTTTATTTATTTTTCCTCTATACTTTTAGTCGATGTTCGTTTTGTGTAAAATTACTGTTTTCCGCAGTTAATACTGTTCTTTTCCGAGAAAACGATTGGGGCAAATTATATCTACCTAGGAATGAACAGGTAGCGTACAATTTTTTGTTTCAATTATTCATATAACCTGGAAAAATAGTATAGATCTCTTTTTTATTGTACCTACCGATTTAAAACGTTATTATTTTGTAATAGATAATTGCTCTAAATTAATAATCACAAAAATAATTGAACAGTTTGTTATTACCACGTTACTTATTTCTTTATTATTTTTCCTTCACATTACAAAATATACTTCTGAAAACAATTATGTATACAAGTAAAGTAATACTTATAATTAAAGCTATTTTTGTAAAGGTTGTAAAGGTATAGGTATACCTAGTAATAATATATTTTTTGTTTCTTCCTGTATTTACCGGTTAAAATTGTACAATGGCGAGGCAATGTATTTAAAACAGCCCGTTCTCAACCCCGAATATAAATTCACGAAGAAAAGTAACATTACCATTGTCTTTATGTATTATATAGGAACATATAAAAGAGTATAGTGCTTACCCTCATTATCGCGAAGCGGTAGCAACTTTAAAATATAATTTCTTCGGGGATATTATTAAAATCCGAACGCTGGAACAAGGGCTGTACGCAAGGAACAGAACTAACTACGAAAAGGGTTAGAGAAATGGAATGGGTCTCGGCATGCAACCGTTTTTTAATGTCTGGTATACACGCATGTTTTTAAGTTTTCCTTAATTACCGTATCTCTCATATTTATGTTACCGTTTCAATTGTTATTGTTTTGGGGAAATTCGGGCATTAGAAAATTGGATTTTCAGGAAAAGCAATTCTCTAATTCGAGAGGCAAAAAAAAACTCCTTCAATATTCCGCCTTTTAACCTTCCGATTTTTTTATTCTTTCTCCCAGAACAAACTTTTTACCACTTAGGATAATCGTTAATCGCGCGAATTCCTTTTTTGCGGCAGTCGCTAAGTATCCAAAAGGGGTAAAAAAGAAAAAGGGGCGAGAGAAAGTAATCGCCGAGGAGTGCGGTATCAGGTGCTACTTTAATCGAAAAATCTCGGTTTTAATCCGCAATTATTTCTTAAATATTCAAAAGGCACCTACTCGAATCGACGCCGAATCTTTTAATATAAAAAACCCAATATGCCCTACTCGATATTTCAATCGATAAAAAAATCCACGCATATCATTTACATAAATCTTATCAAATAATAGTAGATTACTAAATCTCTCGTTACAATTATAATTAATGTCTTGTGGATAAGCCTTGTTTTATATTATAAACCATTTAAAATTCTTATCAATAAGGATCATATTTATAACGACTTAATTTACCCAACAGTAATAGGTATTTCATTAGCGTATACACACGCTCATGTACTCTGTTAGTTTAACTCACGCATTAATAAAATAATTTGAGCCTTTCGAACAGAACCCCCATAAAATTGTCGACACATTTTCTTATCCTATCTGGGAATCTCATCTGGATTCTTTAATAAAATATCGGTTTTCGGCTAAGTAGGAATCTCCCTAGCAGAACGACGAACACGAACATTATATTCGTCTGAAGATGTTAATTTGTTTATCGAAACGTAAATTAAATATATAGGTACTGTAAGTAAACCAATTAAATTATACAATATGTGTAAATGAATGTGTTTAAAATATATACATATATAAATAACAGTGATTGGTAGTTAATTATAAGAAATAACGAAAATAATATAATCTGAAACAGAAAATCGAAAATAAAGTAGAAATAAATATAAAAAAAATCGTTCAATGCGTATTGTTTGAATAAAGATAACGATAATTATATAAATAAATAAATTACGTGGAAAACATTTGTAATATTCACCAAATATTTAATTACAAAAATACTATTTTTTCTTTAACATTCAACCCTACATTGAGGACCTTAATATCAATTTTTATAACCACGCCATATCTAAATAATAATTGTGATCGACAGGCCTTTAAACGTTTTCCACGCAACAATAAACTTAAAAAAATGTAACCAAAAAAATAACTTGTGTACGTACATGGCTTACTTTTGATGTATGCGTCCTAAGACTGGACTCGGTAGCGAATCCCTTTCCGCAGATGTTGCAGTGGAAGGGCCGGTTTTTCGCCCTCTCCACCTGAGCGTCGTGGTTCCTGAGATGCTGCTGCAGATTCGATAGCTGTATGAAGGCTCTGCCGCAGTCGGGGAGATGGCACTTGTACGGTCTCTCTCCTAAAACACAAAGAATAAGGGATTAACGAGGTAAAATTGGATATTAACGACCCCTAATAGCTCAGTAGGTTTGTTGATTTAATATCGATCGATCTAAACGATTTTTTTGATAAGGATATAAATTATTATTGGTTGGTAACATTGTACCGTTTGAAAGTTACATGTTTAATGAGAATCGCAGAAGGAGGTCCAACTGGAAGAATAAATTGGCAATTAAACGATAAATGAATAGGTTTTACAACGAATTTTTCAATTTTTGCGATAACTCACGGTGAGAAAGTGAACCAATAAAATAAAATAAACCCACTCAAGCGTCACTTTAAAAACTAATTATTTATAAGTTTGCGTATATCCAGAGTTAATACCGATAAACCGGTCGAACGAATAATTTTCTATACATCAACATGAATACAAAGTATAGGTAGGTATGTTGTAAAATGGTTTTCTAAGATTTCCGGGCAACGTTAATTTCAAAGGGGCTATTAAGTACAGAAAAGATAAGAACGTGCAAAAAAATCCTCGCGATAAAAACGAAAATTACGGGCGTTTAAATCTGTGGCCAATAAGGCCCCGTATATAATCATATCCTAAGAGGCTGGTGAGTTGGAAAACACCTGCTCAAGAATTATTGCGTAAAAATTATATTTCGAAGAGGAGCAGGAATGACTAATAGTCCAGGATTGGAGTCGAATCGAACAAGCTCTAAAAAAACGGCAAATAAGTACACAAAATTTTCCAAAAACTTCCTTAAAAGAAGAAAATATTTTTCCCTAAAATTCAATAGTAATTAAGCGCAGTTCACCACTAAATTGAATTGTTTAGGGTTTAGGGCGAATGGGTAAAGTGATAATGAGGAAATATCAAAATTTCCAATCCCTGATTCACCTCAAGTAACTCTTAAAATACCTAATCCTGGTAAATAGGCAGGCATTTAAGGCCTATTTTTATAAAAATTAATCTGCCAACACGCCCGAGATAATGCACTATCGTTTATTTAAAACTCTTCCGTTCACTAATGCAAGTATATAGCATAAGTAATAGCATTAAAGATTACTGGTAGACCATAAATCTTTGCAGAAGACGGTGCTGTAAGATTGGAAGAATTATTCGGGCGGGTAGGGCAGGTGGATAGCGACTTGAAACAATGTGTACGCGTACACGGGGGCCGAAAAACGATAGCATCCTTGTGGGTGGGTGATGTATGTACGTTACGAATTCAAGAAAAGGTGTACTTGAAGAAGAAATTATAATTATTCTTGTTTACCATATGCTGTTACAGTTAGAGCGGGAGTAAACGGATCATTAAATGGTGCAATTAGGGAAAAAAATCATAAAAAATATACCGAACCGAACCGGCTGTTTTGTGAAGAACGGTTTCGCGACGTTACCGCCTATGTAATGAGTTTCATGTATAAGTACACATTTTAGTTTATAATCGATTGATCCTGTAATTTCGCATGAATTATCTGGTACATCAGTTTTGAAAACTTTATTCGATTAGAGCAGTTACAGTTTTTTTTCAATAATAAATCATTTTTATTATAGTTTCGTCGAAAGAATATCAAAACAAAATCCGGACGAGTCGAGTGCTTAATGTCTCGCAGATAATCGCGGGCAATGAGCAGATATCGCGAGCAAAAACCGCCCCAGAACGAAAACGATTCATTCGCGTCGTAACTCAAAAAGGCAATAAACGCATCGTTAACAATATAAAATATATAAGAAAAGAAAAAAGCGACGTTAGTCAGGATACATAAAAACCCGCTCGACGACCGCTAAACTATTCGGATCAACCCTTTCGAAAAAGGAAATGTATAAATTTCTTTGCAGTTCAATTCATGTATATGTAAATCAACCACTAACAACGTGTTCTACAAATACGGAAATAAATTTTAGGGCCGACCAGTCGCAGTGGCGTCCAAACATTTCTTTCAACAATTTTATTAATCTCCAATTTTTTAAACCACTAGTTTAATAATTACAAAATTACTTGACCTAAAATTCACTGTCTGCGTTGAATGTTAAAGAATCCACTTAATTTTCCGTAGCAATTTCCTCTTCAATTTTCCACAATAAACTATAGAATAAAACAATATTTCTAAAGTTTCAAGATCCCCATGGTGTTAATCATTATCCGGGACACAGTGTATAAGACAAACTGCATCTTTGTTTTGAAATGTGCCATCATAAATGTAGGCCAGACGAAATATGGGTGACCTATTTCTAGTCAAAGATCACTTCGACGGGACGTAATAAAAAAATCACTTGTATCCGTTAAACACCAGGTAAGGGTTAAATGCTACCACTTAACAGATGGTTTTCGGTTTGCTGTCGCTGTCAGTACAAGAACGAAAACACCACGAAAATAGAGAAGAAGAAAAAAAAAGAGGAGAAAGTTAAACGAACGTTACACCGACTTCGATAATGACCATATGTGGGTGATGAGTTTCAATTGTTTTCTTATAAAACTTATTTAGACTTCGGGCCGATATATAATTAAGCTGTTATGAAAGAACTTGAGAGATAATCGAAGGAAGTTACCTTTTGTTCTCGATCGGGGTGCCTTAATTCAATAACGCATATGTCGGTGAGGTAATTTTTAATTAAATTAAAGCATTATGACATTAGAACTGTTCGGAGTCGCGATGTAACATTACAAAAATTCACCCTATCGCGATATTAAAAGAATAGGAATTCGAGCATTCCTGGATGGAATGGAAGAAAAATAAATTTTTCCGCCCGATTTAATCGAACCGATATAGAAAGAAAAGTTTTCCATTTAGGCCGTAATTCTTTCTCAACTGTGACATATTTTTAATAAAGGATCCAACTTGCATCCTTTTAGTTCAACTCTTGAGTAATTTTAATATCAAACTTTCTTCCCATTCTTTTTATTTCAACGTTTTTCCAGGGAAGTTGAGCGTCTGAAAAACGTCTAGACCCAAAAGCATAAAATTGTCCAGTAAATATCGGATTAACTGCACATTCAACCGATAATAACGCATTACTTATTTGGGCTTTTTTTTCATGATCACTTTTCACTTTAATCGTTAACAAGTAAATTGTTGGTTTTTCGGGCTGGCAACAGACCCGTCAATTAGCGGAAGGAAATCAACCGTCCCGAAAGGTGTTAAGTCCTTCACCCGAAGCCGGTTTACATATGCACGGGAAATAGAAGCAAGTGATACTACAATAAAATTTCATTACCCGAATTTGACACGCTACGCCTGCCGGTCCAATTTAATGCGCTTTTCGGACCGTTTGCGATCACTCTTGCACCTTAAATTGATGTATCAGACAACATAGTAATTGCTCCACCAACAACACTCTCTGTGATATGTAAAACTGAAGATGCTTTAGATGATTCCTAAACGATATTGCCTTTCTGCAATAACTTTACATGTATGTGCGTATTAATTTTACTCCTCTATTCTAATTCTTTTAATACTCATCTTGATAACCATGCAGCGTTATCAACCTCTAAAGCTGCAATTAATTACCTACTCAGTTTTGCTGTTAATTAAAAATAGACCTGGATAAATGGGGAGCTGTTTCACAAAAAAAATTGTTAACGATATAAATTCGTGAGCTGGTTAGGTTTTTTTTTTGGCGATGCGATGGATGACCCTTTGGGAGCAGATGTTCGATATTCACCTATTCGGATCGAATCAAGGGTTTTACTCCCGTTGACCGTGTGCATGTGCGCAACAAAAAAATTATTTACATAGAATACAATTCGATTCAATGACCTCATGGTTGGTAAGACACGAACTGAAAAATAAATAATTAACGTCGATGTCGGTTAAATGGGGTATTATAGACGTGGTTTTTTGTTTTTAGGATGTTGGTTCGTTAAATTAAGAGAAAGGCGTATTAATTGTTGATTTATAATACAGTAGTTGGGTTAGAAATTGTTATTTTTCTTATAAATTTTTACTCACTGGTTTTAAAGGGATAATGTGCTATTTTTACCGTCTGCATAGGGAAAAAAGTGTGTACTTAGTGCAGTAACAGACTCGAAAGAAAGAAAATAATCTGAAATTACCTCTAGGTATATTATAGGTTGGTATATAAAAAGCGGTTAGATTGTATTTGTTTACCTATAGCTTATCGACCGATAATAGCGGCTTTCAAATTCGATTTTTTAAATAAATTATCGTCCCATCGGTAGCTTATTTGTCAAACCATCCATTTTTTGAAGTGCATTTTTTATACAGTGTATCATACAGAATAGGGAGGAATTTCTAGGTAATCGATATTTACAAATGCAAGTAACTAATATTAAATTGATCATTTCAAGCTACGTTAGAAAATGCCATAAAAAATCCATCAATATTTATACAATTTTCTGCACGGAAAATTAGATTGGGATTTAAAGTAAATTTTTAATTCCTTTGAATAATACGATGGCTGGATAACATTTTGCTGCATCATATTTGCTTCCAGTTGTTAGTGCTCTTGTAGGATGCGAATGCATAGAACAATAATAAACCACATTATGCTGGAGCAACAAAATCAATCAAACCCACCAAAATTTTTGCAACAATTCTTCGATTTGAAACGGGGTGTAGCGACGACGCGAGTGCGAATATGCGAACGTGTGTGAGTGTGTAGATTTGTGTGTGCATGTGTGTGTGTGTGTGAGAGTGTGGGTATCCCGGATTGCCTGCGAATGCCGACCCGTCGACGAGGGGGTACGTAGAGCCGAAGGGCGAAGGGCCAGCACCCTGAACATGTGATATATTGGCGTAGGCGGGGTTTGGCCGCTGTACATAACAGCGGAATATAGTTTAGTGTAGGATTCCACACACATGTGCACTTTCGGATAGTTTCCACACCACGTTAGCTTATATACCTAACTAGATAGGGGAGGATTTCGACATCAAAGTTCAACGATGGGGGTGAAATGAAAACGCCAGATCGAGGAGGCAAATACAAAAATTTAAATCTAAAACAAAACTTAATTACAATTTCGCATATGTAAAATATACTTTCTCAATCATTTTATAAACTATAACTTTTCTATATAATGACCCAACATGAATCCGTATTAGAAAAATAAAAAAATTCAATTAAAAGAACCCATAACATTTAAACAACAAATTATATCAACACCCTAACAAACGCATATTGCTTGCACTAACAATAACCTATAATAGTACTAGTTATTGATGCAAAAATATGCAGGAAAATTTTTGGCAGCCGTGCCGACCTAGTGCAGGAAAAGCCCACAACAACGGCCTACTCCATCCCTACTGGAATTTTCCCAACGTGGCTCTGTTGCTGCATTTTGCACATGCACTCGATGCGCTTCACAAATGCGAGGTGAGCCGATTTCAAATATAGATTTTATTGGTGAAGGGGTAGATGGAAGCGGAGGAAAAAAGCATTTCTGTATTTTATCAATGCGTACGCGAATGCACGGGGTTGTTTGGGGGTGCAGCGATTTTGCAATGCGAAAAAATTGCATCAGTCGACCGACGCATAGGCATTTTAAAAAGGGGATGATAAAGCTGGTGCGTTGTGTAGGTACGCTCGTTTTTTAATTGCATTTGAACGGGTTGTTTTAAAATCGAGTTTATTTAATGGTAGAGATTTTACTTCATGTGCTCAAAAAATCTACTAGCTATTCGAGATAAATCTAGTAATAAATTCCTTCTAAAGATGCTTCTCCCAAACTGCAGGCCTCAACAAGGAACCCCCTCAATAACTTCATATCTTTATCCGCTCGATAAATTGCGTGTTGTAAAATTTAATAACAATTTTTACGGTGGTTTTATTTATCGCAAATAAACGAGTACCTGTGCAGTACGTGTATGTACGTTCAAAAAAATGCAGAGAAGTAATTTCATAGATAAATCTCGACTCTTTTATTTCTCTCGTAACTATGTGGCCGGTTACACGCAGCGGCGGAGGCACCGACGAGGAAAAAATGCACATCAGCAAAATAGGGAGATAAGATTTACGGTATGTATAATCAGACTAAATTTATCTGATAAAATGGATAATTATTTATTGATATCGATAGGATGAGAACGGGAAAGGATTTGTACCTTACTCAACGCATATGTTAATAGGAAGGAAATTTGATTAATTGCTTTAGACAGAAAATCATTTACGAGAAATTATAATGATACGCTATAAAGTGGGGAAAACTGAGTAACTAGAGAACAATATTTTTTTTTATTCAGATGTAATAGAGCTCCTTATCTCCACCAATGGTCTTTTCCAGTTTTTTTCCTTCTCGGTCCTCCTTGATTAATATTCCCTTGGTCGAGCGGCTCTTATAGAAAACGATGATAAATTAAAAAGTCGTAAAAATTTAAATACGCCCGTTATGTCCGATATGAAGTTGTTAAGCCGCCGGAATGGCAGGTCAAAAAAGCGAAAGAATTTTAAGTGTGAAAAAGCGCAAAAATTCGCTTCGAACCTATTTTAATATACATAGGAAGGCTCGACTTAATGAAAGCCATTATTTCTTTTTTGATTGGGCTCTATTAGGGCGCTAGCCGGAATTCTAACCACTTAGTTGTGACGGGATTTTTAATTTCGTACGAAAAATTCTCGGAGCTCGGAAATCGGGCTGAAACTTTGCGATCCTCCTGTATATATAGGCCTGTAAAGATCAATATCTAAGTCAAAGGGTTGACAAACTGGGGTATGCATTCGCTTAATTTTAATTCCAATTCTTTTCGAGTGCACTTTAGGGGCGATGAAAAAAGTGAAGGGTCCCTTTCGTTTGGTCTGTTTTTCTTTGAAGAGAATACTAAATAAATCATCCTCATAGCCGACGACCCTTCTCGAAAAAAATAATACAATCAAAATAATATAACATCGGACATTAAATGAAAAAGTTTGGACGTGCTTCAAAATCAACTTTGAAGAGTTATTAAATATAAGAATAAGAAACCACAATATTAGTTTATGAGCACACCTGCTTCGCAAGAACCACCCTCGGTGAACCAACTCTTTTATTTTTGTTACATGCATAGGAATTTATTTTATGAGCACGAGTGTACACAAGCTATCAAACTTTTAATCGATTAGCAAACTGAGTTTAAAATTTGAACGTTCCAATTTCCTCCTACCGAATCTAATATACGATACATCGATCACAATTTCGTCTGATTAATAAAATTATATTATGAAAAAAAAACGCGCTTGTCCATCCATCCACCGGCCCAACGAAGTACTGTCCATCGAGGCAATCGAAAACCGATCGCCCGACGTCCGGTCTTCCACGCAGTCCGGCTTGATTGAAAAAGAAAATATTTAATTTTCTCTTTTAATAAAACGATTAGAGGGCCCTGTTTATTCGAAATCAATTTGTAAAACGGGGCGCGTTTTTTGCCGCATTTTTTGCAGCTATCAGTCTCGACTTCCCTCTCGGATTAAAAGCGCCGATACATAAGCGTTCGGCGATTTTTCGCCGGTTAAATAGGTTAATCGACGTCGCCGATAAAACAGAAAAACAAGGTTTATCGAGTGATCATTTTTCACGGTTATACGCGAACAAGTCGGGAAATTGGCGTTTTACGACTTTTAATCGATGTGGGGAGACGCCGTATTTTTTTTTCGTGCACACCCAGTTAATTTGCATCGCTCAAAAATAATTAACTATTGTGGTTTAGGTTACATAATGGGTTTAAATCCGTTATATTTCACTCACTTTCGTAATTATTATCTTCGTATCAATTTTATTTTCTGCATTTCCAATGGAGCAAGAATTTGTTTTCATTCTTTAGCTAATTTTAGATATGCTGTAGGTATTAAAACTTTATCAGTGGGTGGCAGAACAAAAAATACTGGATGGAAGAATTTTATTGAAGTGAACAAACAAGGACCCTATTATTGTAAGGATAATTATAGAAATAATAATTATAGAAATAGAAGGTTATATTGAGAAAGATGGAATTGCAAGTGAAAAAAAATTAGTAGGTAGGTACAAATGCATGAAAATTGATATTAGAATAAGATTATTATCAGTCGTTGATGAGCAAAATATCCGATGTTAGCAGACAATCATACCGTAAAACATACAAATAACTATGAAATTGTATCAGTGGTTGGAATTAACGATCCGGTCCAAAATTGAAATTATAAAACACAGAGTTAGAGTTAAATTAGTGTGTGTGCGGCAATGCAGGCATCGTCAGCTAATAATCCTAATATAATAACATATGTAGTTTTGCGTCGAAGCCTCGATAGAAACCCACCTAACAAGCAATGATTTCTGATTTTGAATTCGAATTCGTATATACATGTGTACGGGAAAATTGGACCCCAGCGTCCCGTGATGGCGCTTCGATTTTATGCAATGCACGCGCCCAACGCGTTGTTTCGACTCGTTACGATTCGCATAGGCCCCGTGCATTTACATCCGAAAATGAACTGTACGATTGTAAATCGCGTTTTAGGTCCAGTATCGCATTCGATCAGAATGCCTATCCGGCCCGTATTTCGATTGCCCTTCGACAGTAACGTGGACCTTATTATTAAAGATAATTTATAGCCGAACAAAATTCAATATATTATTTACGAGTCCGTATTTGCATAAATTACGTGTAACGAGTGCACCGGTTGACATTTATTTAATTAGTAATAAATTTGATCGAAAAATTTTTATTTCATCGGTAACGCATTGTTATTTTGAAACTCATTATAATAATCACACCCCAAAATATTCATCAGAGGGAATATTATAAACTAATTTCAGCACACCTAATACGTAGGATTCTATGCATCATTATCTAAAACGTACCGATGCAATTTGAGAAACTGTAAATCCTATAGAAAAGTTTAAATTCACCAATCAAGCCATTTGAAGGACTAATTCTATTCAAAGCATATACATATTGACCCATAAACCGGAGTTTATATTAATTACTGACAATAAAATCTTCCTCGACCTTGTGGACGTATGAATCAGTATACATGAAGAGAAGACGGATTTTAACGATATTCTCGTAAAGGATTACTATAAAAACATTTTTTATGCATCATTCTTGTGTATCTGAAATTTATTCATAATTGGGACAAGGTCAGGTAATGCACTTTACTGCATTCACATTCGATGACTGGTAGGACTGGTCTGCTTCATATTATACACCGAACGGTATTGAACTAAATGAGACATGCATATTATTAATACAACCAATATTGCATGGTATATAGGTATTATTCGATGAAATTGCATGAATTTAAGAAGGGATTAGTAAAACTTGAGTTTTTTTATCTCTTTGCAACCTTCCATTTTTTATGGAAGGAAAGAAGGAAGAATCTGTAGTAAGGTTAAAAAATAATTCATGTTGAACGAAGGTTGTAAAATCTTAATAGTGTAAAATTACGCGCTTTATAAAATAAATCGGTAATTTCACGCCTTTGATAATTTTCTGTTTTTTTATTAGAATTTTCAACTTTTTTCAATTTTGTCAACTCCACTTTTAGATAATCGAATCTGGTAGTGTTTGAAATGGAGGAAAATTTTAAACTTTTCCACTGATGGATACATTTTGTTTAGATCATTAAGCTATTATTATTAAAATATTTTGTTTTTTGTGAGCAATAGTTTTTTTAACGTTAACTATCTGATTTAATCAATAAATTTAAATCGTGTACATGCTGATTCATTTTAGTGATCATCAACGCTTTTAAGTAAGAAACAAGCGATTACTACGTGAAAATTTATGTGAGCAGGAATTTTTATTACAACAATAAAATCCTAATTTATTTACGTAGAAAAATAATAATTGGTTACAATAAAACTTTTTTCACATATTATTCCACCTGTAATCGCTCGTTTCGCCATTTTAAAAAAACATTGATGGCTACAAAAACGAACCTCCTTGTACATCGTAAAATCATAAAAAAATTAATTTGTATTATAAAAAAATCATACCTCTCCTGGAATCACTTCTTATCAGCCCTAAGGGATAGAATTTAAAAATAGAGCAATTAGAACAGAGAGGTAAATTTTCTAATTTTCTTCTATTTCTTATAAGCATCTTTACTCAATCTTCCAGATTTCGAACAAGCATTGTGAACATTTTCTGTCAGAAGATTAGAAGCAAATATCTTTAGTTAAAGTAACTCACCCGTATGAAGTCTTGTGTGCTGCTGTACGTGACTCAGCTGCTTGAACCGCCTGTCACAGTAGGAACATTTGTATGGCTTTTCACCAGTGTGGACCCTGATGTGCTGCACCAACTGGTGATTACTGCTGAATGACTTGAGACATTGCTGACATTGGTGCGGCTTGACTTCGTTCCGTCCGGCAAGGTCTCTGGCATGCATCTGCATAGCAGACTTGTGCATGAAAATCTGCAAGAACAAATTGCCAATGGTCAGTCAAAGAGCGATTCAAACCGAGTGTTGTTAGTTAGGTGAATAGTGTAATGTATAATTAACGAATCCTTTAGAACTGGCGGCGGGTCGTTAATAACAGAAAACGAAAATTAAAGTAGCCGAAAACTGCAAGGAGACATTTTTAATGTCGCCGAATGATATATATCTGTAGTGGTTTTTAGATATTGCTTTTTTCATTTAGTGTGAAACAGAAGTATAATGTCTTTTTTATCTCTGGGGACGACGAGGAAAGGGTTGAAACATAAATCATCGTTTTAATTCTCGCAGAGTCGGTTCATTAAGCCCCAATTGAGAAAAAATGTCTTCGCCCGGCCACGGTGCAAAACAGGAAATGATATCGCTTACATATTATTATGCGATTATATACAGAGCGTTATATAAATACTTAAAACTTTCACTGTCATCATCTATGATATGCTGTCGAACTTTTTTGCCAGTTTCTAACTAAGTTCTTTATTAAAATCTTTTCGGATAATTTATTGCAATTGGAAACATTATGATATATCTACCAATAATTACACCTATCGGCTGAATGATATTAGATTAGAGTCGAGCCTTGAGGAACAAATGATCACCACCTGCTCAAGCATAGAAAGCGTCGAGCACAAATCATTTTTAATTGGGGTTTTTTTGTAATAATTTGCAACTAGTTTTCGATAATGTTTACTCACTGCAATTTTACGATAATAGAAAGTACTTACTAGTTGATTTAACACAATTTGAAATAGTTATAACAAGCAGAATATAGTTAATTGAAAATTGCAACATCTCGACTACACCCTACAAATTTTTTCCACAATTATTTAAAATGTGGCAAATTTTTACGCTTTTTTGCGAATCGATGGCATCAAATTCCGATTTAATTGTGCTTAGCTTACAGAAATGAAATTTTAATAATTAATTTTTTTCTAATATGCGCCCGGATACTCGCAGATCGGCACTTCAATAACTTGGAAAAAGTTTTTCGCCCGCTCGTCGCGCCTTTTTCGTCTTGGGGCTCTCGTTTTTAATCACGGCTTTCTAGCCTTCCACTCGTTACCTGGCGCTTTAATTCGTCATTATTAAAATAATGTTCCACTTTTAATATTTCATTACGGATTTCGGACCGGCGGTTTTTTCTCCTCTCTTCCACCCTTCCAGTCGAACTTCAATTAAATAAATTCGACTCAATTTTCTTCTTCGAATTCGAATAACCAGTTAATGCAACTTTGAGTAAAATTTCCCCTTATTGAATGCAAACATGAAATTTACCCAGAAGAGACCACATTCTTCGATTTTTTCAACGTACGGTTGGTTACTCGATGTAAACTAGTTTAATAGTTTAAGGAACAGAGCGGGTTTAAGGTGTAGTTATGGTTAAATAATTATAACCTGTAATTTAAATTAGCCGCTCAATAGTACCTATCTATTAATAATACGATAATAGGTGTTATCGTGTTATAACTAATAATAAAATCAATATTTATTGAGATTGTTAAATAGATAAATGGGAAGATTTGATAAAGTAATAGAATCACAAGGTAAGAGTTGTTTAGTTTTTTTTTTCCAAAAAATTATTGATATAGTGATAATGGGTAGATCCGTTCCTGGTCATGTAAACGGCATTTTCTGTTAGGGTTTTGATTAAAATTTACCTTCACAGAGAACCGAATCGAGCAGGAAGTATAGTAATTGAGTTCACAGCGCGTATAGGCAACGTGTAGGAGTACTACATTGATCAATATGCGTTTTCACTTTAATTGTCCCGGCCGTAAAAAAAGCCAAAAGGCAGATGTTCTTTGTTGAAATGCTATCATCATTTATTAAAGCTGCCTATTCGGACGTCGCGTCGTGATATGCATCCGTTATGCGGAAGATTTTTTTCCATCGAAACGCTAAATAATCTTATCGAGTGTATAAGTACCTGCTGATAATCGAATGGCATGTGCATTGCCGGGTACGGTGGAAACTGAAACATAGAAGGCTGCGCGTACACTGAAGATGTGCCTGTTCCATGGTCGAAACCTGGATAAGGTATCGGCAGATGGCAAGCTGTTGAAGCACCGTACATTGTTGACATTGATGAAGCTGGATTCGACCAAGTGGTTGTCGTGTTACTTGTAGTTCCGACAGGATTCGAAGAAGTACTTTCATTATACGTACTGTACATTTTATGCTAATCTGTTTGCCGCCAAAATTTCTGTTACACCATTGCCGGTAAATATTCTATAATACGCATCGAAAATTGTTTAGTAGATAATACTTATGCACGTACACTGCCGGTTTTCATAAACTAATAAAATTAAATGTTTTAATAACTTTATCATCGGCAGACATTTTGATCAGAACGAAAAATAATTCTCGTATCATCAATTGCGAAATCTGGGCACTTTTGTTGATTTTATAAAACTTTTTAATTGGTTAGTTGCTTAAAATAAACTATGATAAAAATATATTTAATTATCTTTATAACTACTTTATTAGGAAAAATGGATACTGTTACCAAGGATAAATAACGATAAGAGCACCAATCGAATTAGATTTAAGAGTTTATATTTTCGAATTTTTCCTCGAATCGTTAATTTTTTGTAACTACCGAAAACCAATATGTCTAATATAAAATAAAACAGAAGAATTCGATATCTAATTTTTCATTTTTATATTAATTTCAGTTAGGTACCTACATCAATGAATATCTCTTTATTTTGATTAACTATTTATTAGAAATTAGAAGAATTTGGTAATATGCAGAACAGATGAATAAAAATTATGAAAATCGATGAGCATTACGAAACAGCAACACCGTATTTGCGGAATAATTATATTAATTTCACGGATTACGAGTCACGTCAGTCGAGAAGGCATTTATGTTGTTTTAACTGGTGATTTTTTTTTCGTCGTAATTTTTATACGAAACGTAACTTGTCATCATTTTTCTGCATTATATTTATCAATGGGTTGCGTTTTGCATTTAAAATTTACATGTTTGGTTGCGGTTTTCCGATTCCAACAAAAGGAAAGAAAAATGTATTATTAGGCAGGATTATAATTAGCAAATTTCGTGTAATTTTATTTTCACATGTGAGCGATTTTGAATTTTTTTCTAAGCCAGTTTCCGTCCGAATCAGCAAAATAAATGACTTTTAATATAGTTAATAATTATTACTTCAAGGGGTGTAGGTAAAGCATTAAGTAATTAGGTACGTTCGAAAATTGTGTTACTTACGTTGTTATTGCTTGTTAAAAGTAAAAACTATGAAGATAAAAATTAGTTTCGCTAATTATCTCGTTAAAATTAAATAGGTATTTTTAACTACCTATACGGATAGATGTATTTCAACATTTTCTAATTCTTTCGCGCAATTATTAGAATCGTACCGAGAATGGTGTAACAACGATTTCCTGTGAGAGGTTGTTTATAAGAAAAAAGTAAAAAAGCTACCAGCGGCAATTAAGCACACCATATTTTAACTTTTAACTGACACACTTTTCGCGGCTTTTGAACGCGAGAGGCGAAAAAAATTCACATTCACTTTTATTTATAATATCGCCAGAATGGTACACTTTTCACCACATGTGCACGAAAACTCGAAAAAAAGACCATGAAGTGGCCCAAACAAACGTTGTCAAAGTACTAAACAACAATCAAATGAATTTCATATTTATAACAAATTAATATAGATTTGTCGAGTATATAAACAATTTTCTTGTTTTAGTTTATTCATATTTACGCAAAATTCGATCTTATTCTAATTGTCATTTAGTTGAAAATACTTTAGCTCGCTGGCAACTGACCGAATGAATATTGATAATGTATTGGCGGTTAAGACACTTCGATAATTATTTGTTCCATAGTAATTAGGTCAATTTAAATGAACAGATAACAAGTGCAAAATCTAATTTAATAAAATGCATTTCAATGCACCAAGAAACTATATGACGTAATTTTTCTACGTAATTTCAACTCAATTTTTGATCTCTGATCGCACATTTTTTTCGATGATTTTTTATAAATCAATTATTCTATTAATATTTATTTATTTGGGTTCCTTTAAGGAAATATTTTTTAAATTATTACACCTACCTACCTAATTTTACCGAATCATTAAACATTAAAGGTAAGCGATGCGACAGGCCCCTATTAACTTAAAAATCGTCAAAATCGTAAATATCTATATTTTCTATATCACGCCCAATCCACCAGACTATAGATTACTCTGTTTTTTTCGCATGAGCGATTGCTCTGTATAAACTAAAAACCCGCGAGTTGTTTTCAAAAACCATTCGAAAAATATCTTCACATGTAATATAAAACTTTGATTTGTTTTCGAGAGTACCGAAAAAACAATTTTAATCCAACAAACAGCGTTATCACGTGAACGGAAGAAGCATTGTGTAATTTTAACTATCGCTAATTGAAATACGTATAAAGTGCAAGTTTTACAATATGATTTTTGCCCCCGCAATTTCAGACATAATATAATTTTCCATATGGGATTATCGGATGGCGTCAGAACTATATGATAACGTCAATTTAGCCAATGAGAAGATTTTTCCCAATTGCCACTTCTCATTCCCAATATTAAATATATTGATGATTTATTTATTTATTTATTTAATTATGACGTGTAAGATAATTAACTATCTATACGTAAGTTGTATTAATCATTTAGTAATACCTAATGATTGAACTGCATTGGATGCAACTTTAATCAAATTTTCAAATTTTACTAGTAGGTACACGAGTTTCTCACAGCGAAATTGTATGCGCTCCAATCATCTAATTCTTATCTAATTACCGTTTTTTCTCTTCTCCTCTTCTCTTAGCAATGCCATTAAAATGCTTCAGCTTCTTTTTTCCGAGCAGCCTGCAATTTATATAGGCAATAACTAACACTGCGCTCCAACAACGATAATACATATGTGTATGTCTGTATCAATCCTTCTTTGTTTGTGATATAGTGAAGATTGTCGTT